CGTTAAATACATCCGTAGGCAAAATCAAACAATCTGACACTGTTGTTTCTATTTGGGAAATTATGAATCATCCGGTTATTATTAATCATCTTATTATGGCTCTCTCTCCGTGCGTGCGTATTACTCATGCGGCATGTGTGTTTAACCGATTTACGACTTCATGGTTCATGCCGCTCGCTTCGACTGAAGTAATTAATACACCTATCTCCGGGCATTGCCTGGTTTTGGGGGCTAATGCGGACGAGGCTGCGTCTCACTAGAGGCTGGGTTGATTTATTTAAACTGTGACCACCCCTCACGTGTGACACTAAGTGTGTATTCTAGCTGGTTTCACGTTTCACCAAAGCAATGCGCGCACTCAACACGAGGACAAATATACAGCAAAGTGTTTCTCCAATGCATCGGAGCTCTTAATGGCTACGTTGCTTATTTTGCCCCAATGCCGAAGAGAACATGAATTGTCTGGGGTTCAACGCGGGACCCCACCTCAGCAAAGCGTAGTAGGGGGGGCTCAAGGCCGCTCTGCTTTGTCTGCCCGCCACTGTACTCCACTCAAGAATCCATATCTGTGGAATTATAATTGAGGATAAATATTATCAAGTGCAATCGGAGAGTGTTTTGTGTATTTGTGCTGGCGCTCGAGAGGAGAGGCGCACTGAAACTGAACACCGGCTTAGGCCCTGACCACGGGGGGGGCTTAGTTAGAGGCATCTTCCTCTGCGGACCACCACGGGCATCAGGGAACACCGAGGTGAAAGGCCAAGGTAAAGGAGTGACGTCGTGACCGCGTATTATTGGCCACAGCTAACACAACTCTGAAAAAACGAACAAGCCGATGTTCAAAACAAACACGGGGGCCTTGTTTTACTTTCTCACGGGCAAGAGGTTGTTTCTGGGGGGTTCGATCATACGAACCACTCTTTCCCCCTGTCCTCCCCCCCCGGTGGGGAGAAAAAGGGCCCATATCCCAATTTCTTAATCCTTGTTCAGGATAATTTAGGCACCCAAAAAAATTTTTTTAAAAACCCCCCCCCCCCCCCCCCCCCCCTCCGGACCACTGGCACCGGTAGCAATCACTCTAATCCGCGGTAAGCAGAGCCTCTTGCACAGTCATTATCTATTCACAGCCACAAGCCTTCGGATAACACAGCGGAGTGAAAGAAGATGCAAGAAAGCTCAGGAGAAAGTAAGAGGGGAGAGTTTAAGAGAGAGAGAGCAAATGGGAGAAAAGAGGGAGGAAAGACAAGAGTATTTAATTGTATTATGTAACAAACACTCTTTGCAGTTCCTTCAAACTGAGAGTTTTGTGTGTTGTAAAAAGCTCCAGGCTTTTTTTTACCCTCCCTGATCAAACTGTTTCTCTGTCGTGTTATAAAATCCAAACCCCTGCAGGGAATTCAAATCCAACGCCGTCAAACTTTTGCAAATCTTGCACAACAACAATTTAGTGATGTTAATGAGTTAAACCGTGAAAGTATAAAGATGGAGAGCACCATCCATCCCATCCATGAACGCGGACACACACACACACACACACACACACACAAATCTAGACATGCCTGCCGAAGGCCAGAGAGGTAAGCGCTTTAAAGCAGCGCGGTACAATCAGGAGAGGAGGAGAGGCGGTCGACGGGTCAGCAGAAGGAGTGTTGTGTCAGTTCAAGTTGGACCAGCGGCGCCCGATAGTGAACGCCAGTAGGGACACGAGAGCACGACGGAAACCACTCGGAGACGTTGGAGAATGTCCACTCAACGTAACCCAGTCTTGCCTCTTTTCCTTCGCCTTATTATTTGGCCAGACGTACTTCTGGGCTTCTAAGAACTCGCTCTCATTTTATCATAACAATCGGATTGAACATGTGGTTTCGTTGTTATGGAACGCGAAGGCCGCGCTGGTTTGGTTTTGAAAGTCAAGCTGTAGTTATGAAACAGGTACACTTACGAGGTCTCTGCCCAAGGTGAGTTTAGCAGCAGGCTCCACTTGGACTGGCGACTCAGTATTATGCTACAACAGTCATTTTCCACTCAGGAGAGCCAATACTTTACAAAGTTAACTACTTAGCGCCCAACCAAAAAAAAAAGAGATGTCAAGAACCTGGAGACGGAAGGAGACTGTTTGTTATCTGTGCTCTGCTTGCATGTGAATCGTACATTGTTGTCGCTGGTAAACCTGCATGTGCACATGCGTGAAATGAAGAAACCCCTCTGAAATCCTCCCAAAAACTGTCTGCTCCCCTCGTAATCCCATGTGGTATGTTCCCACTTAACTGGTAATTGTATTTTCTCTTCACGTATTTAATAGCACAACATGGCAGCAGGGCTCTTAATTTCTTCCTTGTGCTTGGAGGACAACTCAAGTGTTAAGTGCAAGGAGAAGTGCACACAATTAGCTAATATAATTCACATATGTGCTCACTGAGGTTGTTTTTTCTCTCTCTCTCTCTCTCTCTCTCTCGCTCTCTCTGGAGGTCGAGCAACCTGAGAGTTTGGACACGCTCTCTGCTCTCACCCCGCCGTGACCTACTTGCACATACATTTCAGATGACGTATTAATTAAAAAACACTAATTTGATAATAATGCAATAACAGCAGCACCCTGAAGGGCTAATTTAAAGAAAACATTTTCCCAGACCGCCAGTAAAGCATATGTAATGCTCCTTGGAAAATACGGTAGCCTGTTGGTGTGCGTTTTGGGGTCTCGGGGGCGTCTCAGGGTCCTGATTTCATACCACAATCATTAGAATCTTAGCTCCCTTTAGACTGGGAGCGCCCGACTGGCGACGGTGCCTGTGGATGATATTGGATCCCCGAGGTGGACACTTGATGAATATCTGAGGCTGTTTTGCAGAGGGTTAAGTCTGAAGCTCCCCTGCAGATCAAGGCGAAGTGACGATTCAAAGCTGAACTTTATATTATTTCAACTGGATTGTGAAGTTCATGGGGCATCGCCGAAGGGTTAATAGAAACAACAGCATAACCCAAAGGCAAATATAAACGGGAGAATTGATTAGGACTGCTGACCCAGATTTAACATATTTCATTTTAAAATATTATTTTGGGGGGGGCATTACAGTTACAGGGACCATGTGGGAAGAATGTTTAGGACCAAGGACACATTCCAAACCAATATCGATAATGCATTTGTTTGATTAAAATGATACAATGATAAAATGAGACATGTCATCACTGATTCACTGAATTTTTGTTATTTTACCAATATTAAATAATGCACATTGATGTCTCACGCCTTAATTAATCTGTATGACTTGTGGCCTTACTCTATTGTAGAAGCAAAGCAAGTCCTTTAGGACACACTATATATATATACACACACACACACATATACACATATACACATATATATACATATATATATATGTGTGTAGAAATGAGAAGCTGCATGCAGGAGTCTTAGCGTACGTTTAGCCTCTGAGCGTTGTGACGATTTAGAGCGGCCGCTTTAATTTAAAGTGTGATCGTATCCAGGAGCTTTGTCTTTTAAATATGGGTTACAATGTGCTGACATTTCTAACGCTCTAAAATACCGGAGTCTCAATGCTCATTTAATCAAAGTTCAAAAGAACGGACCACCCAGTGCATTAACGAGCCGTAGCGCAACTTGTTGGAGACAAAATTCCCATAATTCAGAGGGGTAAATCAAACCCATCAGTTTACCGTAGCTGCAAGCCAAACCATGTCATTTCTGCACAACATTATCCAGCTTTGTTAAACCCTCATGCTTGTGACCTGATCCCAACTATCCATTAACTGTGGATATCGTTAAATCTGAGCCACGATGCACAGTAATTCAGCCCCTCATTCTTCCTCATGGAGAAACAAAGACACAACAAAACAAACACAGAGCAGGGGAAATGATTTGGCCTCTTTGTGTCCTTCCCTTTGTACCGCTGGCATGTTGGCATTGAAGCCTACAGAAGTGGAAGTGAAAGCGATTGAACTTGCTCACTGAGGCTTGTCCTGCAGGACTGAGTTGGGGTGTTTTAATTAACCTCATGTACTGAACTTCCAAATTTGGGGTCCGCTAATGAGCAGCGGCGAAGTGGTTGTAGAGAGTCGCCTCAGCCTGGTGGCTAACGCCTCCGCTCGGCTTCAGCGACCGTCTAACCGCGTCGACCAGGTCTGTCAACACGACTATTTTTCACCATGATTCATAGTTTAGATTACTGGCGTGATTCATGCGTTATGTAAAGTAAAACAAGATTTTTTTTTTAAACCGGTATTCGGGTGAAATCTGCGAACCCGACGGGTTTTGACTCGTCTCATGGAAATCATTTATACTGACTGCAGACTCCTGGAGGGTGGTCGCTGGCGTGGTTTACTTTCACAGGCGCATGCTTCCATTTGTCATTGTTATGCTAAACACTGCTTTGGTATAGAGGAAATTGAATTAAGGAGCCGTCCAGCAGCGGTCTTATCCTTATCATTTCCATCAGCCTGATCAGAAACACATTGAGACCCCCCCCACCCCCTGAACAACGCAGGGTCAGAAAGTCGTGACCTTAGGCAGGCAGCCATTTCCTGAGCACTCCATCATGTGCAGCCTCTTTTGGTCTTTGGCAGTGATGTAACATGTAAATAAGGGGGAATTTACTTGAGAATCTACAGTAAAACGCTCTTTAAAACTGCACATACAGAAGGAACCAGCAACGGAAACATCAAGGTAAAGTAGAATATATATATATAATGTATTTGGGAAGATACAAGAAGAGAAAAGTGAGAATATGTTTTTGTTTATGGGGCAGCACCCTGCAAGCTGAAGGCAATGTTAGGATTTAAGACAATTCAAGGCTGACTGAGGAAATGACCCAGTTTGCTTACAATGGCAGACGGGAAGATGTTTACTGCCATAATTTGTTGACAAATAAATAGACAAGTTATGGAAATGTTAGTCCGTATTTAGCTGGAAAAGGGAGGGAGCGGCACCGAGCAACATTAGAAACATCCATGTATTGTTATGCATTACAGAACAAAGACACAAACCGTGACATGCACGCTTTATTGTAGACAGTACGTATTGTCACATAAATGTAAATATATTGAACATTAACTGAAATCGAAACTGGAATTAAACTTTAAGAAAAAGTTTTTTTTTATATATATATACTAGATTTCTTTTAAGCAAATTTAAAAAAGTTGAATGGCAAGTGCAGAAGTTACTCCTGAAAGGCAAGTGCAGTTTTAACATACATAAGACACATAACAGCAACACAGAGGAATGGAAATGACAAGTGGCTTTGAGGAAGGTATCCACTTATTGTACCTGAGTAGCATTCAGATTGTCTCTTCTGCCTCTTTTTTTTCAGGACAGACAAATTCACATTCCGAGTAAAGTGCATGACAGGAGATTTTCAGTTGTATGGAAACTCTCTGCATGTTGATGCTGACGAAAATAAAACAAAAACAAAAACAGGAGCGATGATGCAAAAGGAAAAATGCAAAAACTCAACATACTCTTTTTTTTTTATGGCACTATGAAGCTCAATATTCGTGCTCCTGAAAAGGCATATCTCCTCTACATAAACATACCACACTTCCATGCAGCTTAAATATTCTAGATTCGCCATGATTGTAAACTTCTTCAGAGAGACTTAATGACGCAAAGTTTAAGAAAGTAGACAAGCCGCTCCTGTGGTCCCCATTATCTCTGGCCGCGCTCCTGCTTGAAGGCCATAATGAACTTCCAGGCTTCAATGTACTGGGAGAGGCAGATCTCCTCTGGGAAGAGCTCCTCCACATCAGGGGGGGGGTCCAGGTCTTTGCGCTCCATGTAAGACACCAGTGTGATTTTCAGGCTTTAAAGAGACAAGATGCACACTTTATACATGTGATCTGACATTTCTACACACACACACACACACACACACACACACATATAAATAAACGTAATCCAGTCTGAATAAAATAATTGGCACATACAATGGTTAGCAAATGGAAAGGGTTTACCTCCAGTCAGGCTTGTAGGTGTCCGGTGCATTGGGCTTTTTAAGGACCAGCAGCAGGAACTCGTGCATCTCGAGCAGGAAATTGTCGCCGCTGCTCTTAGAAAAGAAGCCGGTCAGCAGCCGGTGCTCGTCCTCACCCAGGGCCACTTTGTACGTCTCTGAGACTTCCACGAATGGATCCTGGCAAAATATTGTATTGTATAGTATTGATGAGGCAAAATGTACGATATGGATCACTAAAACTGCTACTGCAAATAACAACGACACTTTCCAGCCCACCGTGTCTGTGTGACGATGCCTTACCCCCTTCAGCCGCAGCATTTTTTCTGATTTGAGTGAAGCCAGCAGCTGCCACAGAGCCACGCAATGCTTTAGACAGCAAATGCTCAGCGTCTGTGAACAAAACAGGGAGAATAACAAGTTTTATCTCACGCCTGGCACATGAAAAACACCTAAACCAATTCAACCGTGCTCGTAAAAGTGTGATGGTACAAAAAAAAAAAAAAAAAGGTTATCTCCTAGGTGTGCAATTTGCAAACGGTTTGTCTAAAAAGCAACAAAGTTTGTCAGTGGGAGAACGGCTAACAGGATAAAATAACCGGCGTCCCAGATAGGCTGACCTTGAGGATGTGCGCAGCCATCTGGTTTCCCATCTGCAGCACCTCCTCCAGGTAGCAGGACAGCTGCATGTGAGGCTCTCCCCCGGTCATGGCGAGAAAACCAAGGGCCACTTCCAGCGTGGACAAGGCCTCACACACCTCACTGTAGGAGTGCAGCTCACCGGCAACGGCAGCCAGGGTGAGAGTCTGAAGCGGCTCCTGTTGGCGCACACACACACACACACACACACACACACACACACACACACACACACACACACACAGAGGAAGTATTGTCTCATATGAGGGGTTCCTTTGACAGCAACATGTTTAGTATACAATGTGATAAAATAAAAGGTAGTACCAGGACTATCTGTACCAAAACCTACTTGCTGGACTTTTGCTTTTACATCCTTCAGGATAATCTCATAGTCGCGGTCATGTCGGTTCACTAGTGTAGGGATGCCCTGTGGAGGAAAGTGGTGTTTTTAACAATTTTCCACACAAAGAGGAGCCATTTCTGTGCTTGGCTTTTGCTTTTCATACATTGAGAGTGATGAGAGGTTTTCCCTGTAAGAAGCGGGACACGATCTGTTGCTGGATCTTGGGCAAGTCGTACTCATGAAGAGTCTCCTGGCCGCTCTCAATGCTGTACTGGGTGTTGGACAGAACCAGCGGCATCAGGTCCCTCTCCAGCTCGTACCGGATCACGTGCAGGTCGGTCAGATCTGCGGGGCTCACTTTGTAGCTGGGGGAGGGAGACGCGACCCAGTCGGTCAGAGGGTTGTGGGAATACATCTGCAAACAAGCTTTTTTTTCCTTCTTTCACTTTTTGTCTTTGACTCTGTAATCAAACGCTATCGTTCTGTCCTGGATGCCTCAGTCAAAGCGATACAAAAGACGCAGTCCATATACGCGGGACCGGAGTTTACACAACGTGCTCTCACAGCCAAACATGTGCAAGTGAGAAGAATGTGGCGTGAGCGCCCCCACCTGGTCTCTTCTCCGGTGTGCTTATCCACACAGTAGACCAGGTCATTGTGCAGTGCGATGAGGTAGCTGACCAGTGCCGTGGAGCACAGGCCTGGGCCCTGTCGCCGTGGTAACAGCACCTTTAAGTCGCTGCTGTGGTCCAGGTCCTTTTGGCAGAACTCAGCTGGGAGCTGGATTTCACCTGAAGGACGACACAAGTGAGACCGGGGTGGTGGACCGGTCTGGTGTTGGTGTAACAAACTGGGTTTGTAGTTACCGTTTGTGGCCAAAGACACTCGGAGCTGATTCCACGTTGTCAGGAAGATTTGGATGTATTTTTCATACCTGGCTTTCAGTGACGCTGCACATGTGAGGAAAACAACAAAATTATCCTGAGTTTAGACACATAAAGTTGAGACACAACTTGCAGCACATTGGACAGTCTGACGTGTGGAAGCTATTTAGGACTTTTAAGAATCAATCACTATCTTCTTCCTGGTTAAAACAACTCATTCCTTGGCGGGAAGGTTTTCACACCGTACGTTGCCACTACTAAGCTACTCTTACTATGATGTTTAAAAAATAAGAGCCAATTAGGTTATTATTAACTTTTTATCTCTTGCAAAGTGAGTCATAAAAATACAAAAAAGGTTGGGAGCCACCGTTATGGGCAGTTAGTTTCAGTACCTGCTTTCTGATCCTGGAGGAATTCGGCAATGGTGGTACAAGTCAGCTCAGTGATGTTTTGAAACTTCTTGACCAGGTCTCTCTGGAGTGTGAGGATATCAGGCAGGTGCTTCACTGCTCGGACCTCTGCTTCCTAAAAGTAGAGAGATGGATGACTCGGTAAAGCATGCAAAACTTCAAGAAGTCCCATTGAAGAAACTACTACTACTACTTTTACTACAGCTGAAGTGCTGTCAGCAAATGGTAATCACTGAAGGCGTAATCAAACCAGAGCAAGATACAAGATCTGGCATTTAGAGCTTAACGTTCAGTGGATGAATCAAACTGAAAATCTAGAAATTACACTCTAGGAGAGTTCACGGGTAAAACATGAAGTACCTAAAGTTCTTTATCATAAAGACTTTTTGTCCTCTTTTTTTTTTAATTGCGCAACAGCATTTGTTATATATTCTGACTTGATCTTAAGGGAAATGTCAGAGCATTCTAAAGTAGCTTAACACAAGGATCGTAGTGTACACAACGGTGACTAAGATGCACTGTTCCAGGAGTAACTTCTCCAAAAGCTGCAATGAGTAAGACACAAGACTCTTTGGCTGATGTTTGGTCACTAATTTCTTACCCTATGCAGAAATCTCCAGAGCACCGGCACGGTGTCTTTGCCATCATTCTGCTCTACAATGTGGGTGAGGCTCAGCAGGGAGACCTTTTCCCTGCAGCACCACACGGCAGAACCGTGGATCAGAGAATTCTGGGGCAGTGAGGCCAAGAAGAGAAGAGGATCGCCAAACATCAGCTTCATGATTGGGTTGGCTGAGATGCGAGAGTCCGTCCGGATGAATGCGTTCACTTCCTTCAGCCGTCTATCCAAGTGCTGGGGATGAGAAGAATTTCAGGGGATGACGTGTTATATGCGCGTATTGGTTAGATTATGTAAAAAGCATTCCTACCTTCAGCTGGGGTGTGATGATGGCGGTGCTGACTTCCATCTCCCATCCATTTCTAGCCTCCTTGGTGGAGAGCCCATTGTTATAAGGAACGGGCCCTGAAAGGAAAGACCAGCAGTGCTTGACAGTCAAAAGTAATCCAGCTTATCTGGTTTCATTTTTGAAGACACAAAAATGTAATCAAGGTATATTTCACATTACTTAAATTAGTCCGTAGTTGTAGAGTGAATTACTGTTAAACTAACTGTAACATTAACACATGAATCCGGATCATATGGAAATCCTGACTAAAATCTTGCCTCTATTTCCTCTCACTTTCCTGAAAGTAAATTTCAAAGTTCAGGAAGCAAAAACAGTAACACAGCTGCACTGTATTGGTGGACATGGGATGGTTATCAGACCTTATTTTAGGTTTTATTGCATTACTCCAAATCATGGCACGGGACAAAAAGGTTCTAAAGAATGATTGTTGTTCCTTACACGTTGGATGCTGTCTGGGTTCCATGAGGCTGCTGATGAGCAGGTGAACGGCGGTGACTGTGTCGTCTGTCCCCTTACCCAGGGATCTGATCAGATGTTCCATGTCCTTGCGCAGGTGAGCAAGTAGAAATGCACTTGGGTCGGTGACTTGAGGCCTGATGATGGCAGAGATAGCCTACAAACAGAAATAAAAGGGGATTACTGACTTGACTCCCCCGTCTTAAACACTGACAGTATATAAGAGTGTTATAACACAGTTGGGGTTTAATATAACTTTTTTTGCAGCACCTAAACACTTAAGAATCTACTGCATGGAGAGAGGATTCCCATTAGAACTGTACTCCTTTTTTACTCTACCTCTGGTTGACCGCAGGTACCCAACAGCATGGCCATGTGAGTGAGCATGCGGACCACGGTGAAGGGAACGAGCGAGATGCTCTTTGTGTCCAGCATGTCTGGATTGTCCCTGCGACCCGGGTCGCCCAGGACGTGGCCTGTCTGAGTGCGGTCTCCCCTGTTAGAAGACAATTAACACATCAGATTTTTGGCTAACAATTTGTCATTCTATTTTCAAAGTTGGGCCTCCTTACGGCAGCTGCCCAATTTGAAATCCCGTCACAGGCCTGTGGTCTATTCCTCCGATTTCAACACGACAGTCCAAACAAAAACTTTTTTCCATGGGCTGCCCGCACTAGACGAGAAAAAAGGAAATGGTGAGCAAAGAAAAGTGTGAAAAGAATGCTTCAACGTCAGAATAAACATTACTACAAACCTCTCCGATGGTGCAGGGGTGACCATTCGGACAGTCTATGGGAAGAGTAAACAAAAGCAAGTTATTAACAATATTTCAAATGTGAGGGCACTACTTGTTCTTTGTGTGTTTACTTACAGTACCACTGCAACGGCCCCATAGCTTGCCGAGCCACTTCCAACATGTCCTCCGGCATGGTAGGCAAGAAGGCCGCCTATGCCAACCGAAAAACACATTCAACATGCTTCAAAGAAGAGGAGGACGAGTTGCAAACACTGAAAGCAGCCGACAATAAACATACCTGCATGTCGGCAGGTTGCATTGAAAGATTCTGCAGGGGAGCCAAGATCTGCTCGTTCCCGCAGAGCAAGACAGCAGCCAGGTGAATGGATAAGTCCACCAGCACAGATTGGGTCCCAGTGGCCCCGGGACATACAACTAAGGATCTCAGTTGGTTGGTCACCAAAGCGCTGGCAAAGGCCTTCATCCGTGGGCTGGCAAGAACTCTGGAGTTCTGGATGTAGGTTGTAAAGGCTTCTAATTGCTGGAGGTACAAAGATGCATAAATATATAGCAAACAGAATAATGCCCAGTAAAGAACTACATTTTTTTTCCAGTCCCTAATTTAAAGCAAGTTGCAATTTTCGGTAATTTTTGGGAAATCATTCAGACTTGCTGATATTGTTGACTGTATTTTCTCCAGTTTCACCTTAATTTTCCCTAATTTCGACCTCACATGATAAATCCATAACCTAAATAATGATTATCCATATTTAAATATCAGTAATATTGCATACAACCACACAGTATTTCAGATTAGCTCATGGAGGTCCAAATGTAAGGGTCTACCTCCGGCTTGGGATGGAAGGCGACATTGTCGTCTCTGTAGAGAGTGGTGACTTCTCTGTACAGAGCCAACAGCAGATATACTGCAGTCCATTGTGGTGACTTCCGGCACCCCTACACAGAAAGAAAGCAACAAGACACCCGTGTAAACATACATTCAGGAGTCCTGGTACTCAGTTACCAAAAAGAAAGTAACGCAACGTCACCTCGCAAGCCTCGTCCAGTCCGGTCACTTTTCCCTCCATGACTCCCTTTGCAACCGCATTCCTGATGGTCTTGTAGTCTTCCCCACACACAAGGTACTGGTCTGTTGGAGTGACTTCCTCACCCTGAGTGTAATGAAAATTAAATTGAACTCTTTAATTACTGCTGGGATTAATTTTGATGACGAACAAGCCTTTTTTTGGGGGGGGGGGACTGAAAATCAAAACGTGAGGAATCAAACCTTTTGCAGCACTTCCTCGGGAAAGAGCCAGCGCATTTCGGCCACTTTGAGGAGTGTCAGGACAAACTCCACTCCATGCTGGCTGCAGATCTTACGGATCAAGTAGACGCGATACCAGTCATTTCCGCTTCGCCTACACAGGTTTATCGCGCTGGTCAGGAAGGCCGTGGTTCCGCTTTGGTCAGGCTCTTGCGACTCTGCTGTGATTGAATAGACATTTTGGTATTATAAAATAAACCCACCAATCACAGATGTCTCTATATCTCTCAGTAACTGGTGAGGGTACGGCCTTTGTGAACATAATACTATAAGAGTCACACACCTGTGGCTCCATGTTTTTCTGTGATTAGGCCCGCAGCCATATCCAGGTCCATGCGCACTCTGGCGAGCTGCTGCAGATACTCCACAGTGGCTGTTTCTGCGCACCGACCATGTGACTGCAGGAAGTCTGTCAGAAAGTCTCTTTCCGCCTGCAGACACATCCGCCGGTCTGCAATGGACCTGAAGTGCAACCTTTCAAACATTGAATCCTACAGAAATGAGAAACAAATATATATTCTATAAAAGTTGAATCACAACGCAAGATAATACGAGTCACATGCGTGATTAGCAGATTTCCATCTAAGTGCTGCTGAAGAAAAAGTTTATTTCAATAAATAGCTGAGTCAGACTTCAAATGTACCTCCAGGCAGTTCATGTACAAAGAGTAGAGCTCGGTTTTGTCCGTTTGCTCCAAGATGTTGCTCTGCTCAACTGCCACCAGATGCTGCTGTAGGTAATCTTTGACTTCATCGAAGCTTCAGAAACAGCATCCAATTCATACAAGTATTAGAGAACTGGCTATAGATCTTCAATTCACACATGAGCAGGCTTTATACAATGTGCAACCTCACCTGTACTTCAGCAGGAGTTTGAGCACGACTGACCGAACCACTGGATTTTTATCCACAGAGTCATCAAACGGGGAGAGCACCTTTGTCAGAATGTGTCGCTTACCTAAAAACAAAAAGAAGGATATTTAGAGTTGACAAAATACGAATAACTAGAGACAAGGTTGTGGGAGCATGTTGAGAGCAGTGCCTGACCTCTCAGAATGGGAACAGTGTTGGCCTCCACCATGAGGAAGGACAGCAGATGGAGAATGACGGCTGAACAAGGGGGAGAGTTGTCCTTGAAGCACACAGTGGACACCAGGTCAATGAAGAAAGCATTGCACTGCTTCCTGAACTGAGCGTGTTGTTGGATGTGAATCCTACACGAAACGAGACACACATCGATGTAAACAACTTTGGGTTAGAACTCAATAATGATAGGAGGAACAATAACGAGAAAGAGTGGTTTAATCCACATGCAGCTACCCACCTTATGGTATCTGAAGGGACCATGAGGAAGTCTTCGTCAATTGGGTGGATGCAGAGCGGACAGAACATCTGACCAGGAACCAACCATTGTTTGATGCAGGCTACACAGTAGACGTGTTCACACGGCAGGCAGAGCGGATTTTGGGGGTCTCCCATACACACTGAGCAAATCGGGAGACCAAACCTGGAAAAACAATTAGAGGTGAAGGCACAAGGGGGGGGCAAAGTACGGCACGGGAGATTCCGATAACATGGAAGCAATAGAAAATGGAATTTCTACCTGAAGATGCACTCGATGGCTGCGTCTTTGCAGGTTTTGAGCAAACCAATTACTTCCTCAAATGACTCCTTAGTTTTGAGATCTGAATTTTTTTCCAGTAACTATGAAAGAATAGATGTGGTAGATCTTAATTTTGGCACAGGAATTATTGTGGTAATCATTTTATGGTGATGGATTCCTTCATTATCTGGTGAGTACAAATAACGCAGACTAACCTGGCAAAGCAGTTTTGTGTGCTTCAAAACTAAAGGCGCCAGCTTCTCTTCCACGTGCTCAATGTCCAACAACATGTGTTCCACAAAAAGAGAGAGAGTGAATATGCGATTCCATCCAGCCCTAAGAACACAGAAACAAAGAGAATTACCCATCCACCTCAGTACAACTAGAGTGGTATCTAAAGCTGACTGAACCACTGGGACCATTTGCATGTCTTTAGTGAAGCTTTACTTACTGGACTCTACGGGCGATCACCTTGCTCCTCTCTCCGTAGTGTCTCACGCTGTCCTCTGAGCAGATCAACTCGATGGGAACCTGGAGTTTTTTGACCTGTCTGAGCCAGGCTTGTCTTTGGACATTTGTGTCCAGGAGTCGAGGCTCCAGATACTCCACACATGCAAAAGCAGCATACGTATCGAGGACCTTGGAGACATGGAAACATTGTTAACATAACACTGATGGAAATATTTTGAAAGCACCAAACATAATTGAACCATGAAGCCAAAATCCCGCACGCCGAATTCAAACACCTTGAAGTGGAAAAAGGAAAAGTATAGACGCTCACCAGTTCCACCCCGCCTCTAGTATGATGGTTGCTAATGAGGTCCTGGGTCACCTGGGGCTCAATGCAGATCATTCTGGAGAGGTTCTGCAGCCGGTTCTTGAACTTGTGATACGCAGCATGGACCCATGGAAGAGACAATGCTGTATCCGCTGCATCGAGCTGCAATCGCAGCTCACTGACGCAACAGTTCAGGGCACCACACAGGAGCTAGAAAGGCCAATGTGCAATTAGTACATCCAGTACATGCACAAACCACTGAACAGGTATTATAGAAAAAACAACCTGCAGATCTTCTGGACAGGTCACGTTCATTGTCATGGCGATGAAATCCTGGAGGTAGCGTTGGAAAAACTCTCTCTGCGTCTCTTCGTCTGCCTTCGTAATGTATCGTCCCAGTGGTGTCTTCCAAAATAACTCATCAAACTCTCCTTGGGTGTGACCTAACAAACATACACATTCGATTCGCACAACAACATCATGGTGGTAACGGGCTATTTATCCACAGCACACGATAACAGGCCATACCTTCGTGTTGGAACGCATGCACCCAGAGCTCCTCCAGGTAGTCTTTGATCCTCCAGCTGAAGGGCATGCTGCAGGTCACGTTCCTGTCTTGAGCAATGTAGTTCTGCACAAGGATTGTTCTCGTCTCGGAGCTGTTTAAAAAAAATCCATGAACAGTAGTTTAAGTCTTATTAATAGGAATTTGGTGTCCCTAGAAAAGAGCAATATCCCCACAACTTACTTTTGGTCCAGCGTTAGGTGTGGAATGTCCAGGAGCTTCTCATTGCCAAAGATATCTAACCAAAGCCTCTTGACAAATTCACCACAGTTTCCATCGAGCAGCAGGTCCAAGTTTTGGTCCCGGTCGATGACTGAGAGCAGTTGCGCCAAGAGCGGGACGACCGCGGCTCGAACGCGCTTCCATAAGGTGTGCCTGTCATCATCCTCAAAAAGTTAGCACAACATAAATGCAAACATAGACATGTTGCAGTCTGAGGCAGAAGCACTGACCTGAAGGTGCCTCCTTCTTGCAAGGCATCAATGTTTGAGGCCTCCTTAATGACCCAGTTGTTCTTGGTGGACGAGAAGGCTTTGCTCTCACGAGTTGCCAGCAACAAATGAAGATGCCGTTTCACAGTTTGCAGAAATTCACCTGACAAGTGAAAGATGAAATTATGAGCACTGAGAACTGCTGAAACAGAAACACTGGGCAAGAGTCGTTGTTTGTACCTTTGACTTCATCATTGTCACTGAGGAGTGTCAGCAGTATCTCAACTCTCTGAGTGCTGCGAAGGCCACTTTCCACCTGGTCCCTCAGCAGGCCCACGGCGCTCTGCACGCAGCTCCGCACCAGCGCTGTGGTGTCCACAATGTCACAGCAGCCCTGCAGCAGGTGGAAACACTTGTTAAGGACAGATGTCGCTTGTGTGAGTGTGAGGAGGGGCATGTTTAATGCAGCTATGTTCAATGTTAAAATGTTCATTTTCCCCCCCGCAAAAATAAATATTTATTGCAAATATGTGATGTTCCAACAGTAGAAAACTATATATACACCCATTTTCTGTACTCACATTTTCCTTTGACTCTGCTTCCTCCTGCTCATTCTCGGTGTACATGTCATCAAGCTCCATGGCTGTAGAGAAGAATTTTGTAATTTAATCTAAAAAAGACAATGTCAATTAATGAAATCATAATTTGCGATCAATTACCTTCTGGCTCATCCTTCTTTGTTTCAAACATTTGACTGATTGTCATGTTCTGCAAGGCTTTGATGTCTGAAACGATGTCTTTTGACCTCCTGAGGTCATCGATGTGAACTGATCTCCAAGGGCCTGTTAACATTAACATGCAGCATAATTATTCGTCAATTGACAAAGAAAAAAAGTTAAAAGTCACTAGTTGTGCCAGCCTTACCTCCATGGAAGCCGACATAGGAGGTCCCTCCTTCCACTCTTGGCAGCCGGGTGATGAAGTAGACAAACACCCTGCTTCCCATGCTCTCCTGAGTTAACTTGTTGATTTCATTTATGGATGAATACCTAAAAATGTACAGTAGAAGAGTCAGTATGTTAAACCCACACAGGGATGATCTATAACCAACAGAGAGGAATCCTTGGACCTACTTTGCAGATGCGATGAGATTGGCACTGTGAGAGGCTTCATCAAAATCACACTGAATGAGGAGGATCTTGTTGCAGGGTTTGGTGTTACTTATTCCCTTTTTGGCAGTGAGGAAGTTCCTGAAAGAAAACAGAGAATTTATATTTAGGGTGGAATTCTACTTGAATATTATATCCTTGTTAACAATTTAACAAACCTGATCTTTTTCAGGTAGGAGTGCTCGGTGTCAAACTGCTGCAGTGAGAGAAGCTCAACGCTGTGCAACAGTTGTTCCAGTGGTTCCAGGTCAGATGCTGTCAGAAGTCTTGAGAATGTCGTCACCTACATTAAGAAAATGTAAATGAATGAATAAATACTCAACACTTGGAGCCACGTGATATATTTGAAACTAGTACGACAACTTTAAGGTACTTACCTCTGTGAAGGAGGAGTAGCAGTGGACTTCCTGCATCGTGTGAGCAATGATGAAGTCAGCTAAACAGCTGTTGTTCTGCTCCTTGAAGTAGACCCTGGCCAGATTTTCACTCTCCACTTTGGGAAGGCCTGTGCAGTCCAACCGCACAACAGAGTCTGGTGTGGCGCATCGGAGCAGTATGAGCTTGGCCTCATCCAGTATTCTCCTCTCTGGATCGGAGACCTCCGCGCTGTCCTTCTGCTTCTCAATCACTTGTAGCACCACGGACGCACATGTGTCCGAGTGGTAGCCGATGAAGACGTCCGGCGGTTGGTACTTGTAAGCTACAGCTGCGTGATGACTGCTGAGGGACACAAAAAGTCTCAGCCACTTCTCCAAATGGTCCACCATCTCCTTCTGCTCAGTTTTCAGGACAGTTTGGATGTCCAGGTAGTGTTTCTCCAGCCTGTTGATGAGAGGTATGGGGAACTGTTTGTAGACCACCTCTCTTTCCTCAATAACGATTAGCCGGAAGTCTCTGTGCACCCGGCATTTTACTCGATGGGTTCCCAGTCCGAGGTCCACATATTTCTGTCCTCCCAAGCAGACGTAGTACTGGTTGAGGGCATCGTAGAGACTTTCATAGAGGTTCTGCAAATTGAGGAGGACCACGGTTTGCCCGGTCTCCATGCAGATCTTTACTCTGTTGATGTTGCGGCAGATTTGGGTGTACTCTTGGTCTTTCGGGAAACTGGATCCAAAGATGATTTCTGGCTGACCGCTGTCAGAAAAGAACGTTTGCTGCAGGATCTGCAGGGCTGCATAGTTTTTGGTCAGCACCAGCAGGTACCGGCATTCTTCTTCTTGGCCGACTGCCTGAATGTTTTCTCTCACAAACTCAACGGCGCTGATGCTCCGCACGTTGGGAGAAGTGTTCAGACTTTTGGTGAAGACGGAAACCGCATCCACGTCATCTCTTCCACTGAAATTTCTCAACACCGCCTTCACAATTTCTTCGCCAGTGGGCTTCCTTTGAAAAGCCTTGGCCACAGCAAAAATCATCTTAATCAAGCTGTAATAGTCCCGTAGACCAAAAAAGCCTTTGCCTCCTTCGTGGCAGATGTGCATGTAGGCTTTTGCAAAGGGTTTGAAGGTATCTCTGACCTTCTCCAAAACCATTGCATCAGAATTGCATATGCCTTTAGCACTCTCGACAAGTTCCTTCTCATCAGGGTCACCGCGGGAGACAAAAATGCCTCTGTTCATCTTTGCAGGGTCTAAAGCCCAGTTGGAGATGCCAATGAATCCGACCTTTTTGTGGGGCTGTGGCTCATCGTCAATGCATCCCTCTTCTAGCAGTGGATGGAGGGTTTTCAGTGGCATCTTTGGAGAGTCCTCAGCCAGCCCGATCTCATCGAGAACCACTACTGAAATGTACTCGTCGAGGTTCTTGCCTTCCTGAAAGCGACCGCATTGCTTGAATGTATTAATGATGCCTTCTGGTGTTGAGTGAGGGCTACACTGGAAGGACACCAAGTGGATTTGTTTGAGCTTTTTGAAGAGATCAGAATGAGCGGCTTGGCCCTGCATTGCATCTGCCACCAGAGTTTTGGAGAGAGATTTGGAACTTCCAGGTTTTCCAACTAAGAAGAGAGGGATTCTTAGCTCAATGCAGAGAACCATCATGAAGACATTCTCTTTGAGGGCGCTGTTCCTTGCAATAGTATCCCCCATTGGGACACCATTTAGAAGTAAATCCTGCATTAAGGAGATTTCCTGCATTACCTTTGCTGAGGTGTATGCTGGTGGAAGGCTTGTGCTTATTTTCTGTCTGTATTTATCCTTTTTTTCCAGGCAGGCATGGTAGCAAACGCCTATGGCCATGACTAGAGACCAGAGCACTGGGTCTCTGCCGTCCGGCTGTCTGTGCTGCCTTTCATTCCTCTCAGCTTTTTGATCGCTCTCAAATTTTTCAAGCTCTGCAAACAACATGACGTGGTTGTCGCAGAACCAAACGAAAGACTGCATGCAGCGCTCGACGTCTCTCAAGCTGACAAAGCTGCATTCATTCTTTCTTGTCCGCATGTACTTCTGTGAAGCCGAAAGGACATCTGTGATGCACTTGATATAACTTTGATCGATCGCTTTGCGTTCAACCACTCTCTGCACAATCTGCTGGATGTATATTTTCTCAGTGTCATCGTTCAACTGTCCAAAATCCCACACCAGAGGGATCATACTTGGTGGTAATGCTTGGACCCTATAGACTAACTGGCGTAGAGGGATGGACCCAAGCTTTTCATCAGTTTCTTCAGCACCAACTCTGTACCCGAGGCCGGCCGATTCTAACCTCCGAATCATTTTATCCGTGTGCTTCCTGTAAGGGTTGCATGCTGCGATAACCTTTAACCCGCAGTTGGGTGTCAGGCTTTCTCCCTTGACTGTCTCGTCACAGAGGACCTCCTTGATGCTGCTGATGGCCTCAGTAGTGTTGGCCTCGTCAAAGAAGAGAACAGAGTCAAATCCGTAGTCGAGCTTGTTAATAGAAGCAACAGTTTCTGCTTCTCGAACTTTGGTGTAAATCATCTCCGAAGTTGTTCCTCCGTGCACCTTGACCAGTTTCATGTTCTCAGTGGCGACTCCACCCCTCCGCAACTCGCAAAGAAATTTGATGAGCCTCGTCTTGCCACACCCTGTCTCTCCCATAATAATGACCGGGATGCCACACCTGAACCGCATATGGATTGCCAGCATCTTCAGTATGTTGTCGGTTGTCAGCTCATATGTTTCATCGGGATCAAGAGGCCACTGGATACCAAGAACATTGCAGATTCTCTCTATTTTTTCCCCTCTCGGAAGTCCATCAAAGTCGATGTTGAATGGGACTCTCTGAAGCTGCAGGCCTTCATACAACACCCGTGTCATGACATTCTTTTTTATCACCCTTCCAGAATTAGGCTCAATGGCATCCACAGAGTTCTGTTCATTGGGCCGAAGGTGGAAACCAATGAAGGTCATGGACACATGGTCGTCGTTGAAGAAGATATATGGATGTGGTTCTGTTTCCCATCTCTTTCTGATCAGAAAAGGAGCCAGGTCTTCATCTTTGACACCCGAGTCCGTCTGCAGTATGCCAGGACTCTGGTCAGAGATGCTGAGTGATGGAGTCGCAAAGTCCTTTGCCATCAGAATCATGAAGTCAACCACAAAGGTTTTGAATCCAGTCAGCGTATCTCCGGTAAAAGTGGCATCACAAAAAACAGACGTCTCACAGTCTTTCAACTGAAGGTTGAGGAACCATGCAAAATTTCTCAGTTCTGCCCAGGATGGGTCCAGCATTCCGCAGTACATGAGAAGCATCTGAAGACATTCCACATGTGAGCCTTCAACATCCTGATATCTGAACCCATCAAGATCATTGTGGTTATGAAATCTGGTGAGATACTGATACGGTCGCTGAAAGGATGCACTCCTGAACTCTTCATCATCCATCAGTGGGTCGTCAGTGCTCACAATGTTTGGGTCTTCTTGCTTCCTCATCTCAAGCATTAGCACCTTTTTGGGGGGTCGGCAGAAAATGTTTGGAAAGACATCCGTGAATGTGGTGTTCTCACTTTGAGCCTATGGAGAAAGCAGAGGGTGAGCGACCATTTAGATTCAGACGACAAAGCGAAGCTGACAAACTTGTAGAAACTCCTACCTGGCGTGAAGCGTTTCTGGTTGACCTGGCGGTCGGCTTCAAAATCTCTATGACATACAGCTGTTCGTCACTGCACTTCCAAGTCTTTCCCTCAGAGTCCATCAAGTAGCGCAGAATCAACAATTTGAAAAGAAACTCGTGGAGACCTTTCTGCACCTTTTTAAATAACATAAAACACCTCCCATTAACGCCATGTGTATGATGTCAAGACATTTCCTATAAATAATGCTACATCACATTAAGATGAATACAACTTGAGAGTCATTATTACCACTGATGTGACGTCAAAATGGAACATTGTAAGTTCCTTCCTCTTCGGGGTGTCCAGCAGAGATTGAAGGATGACATTCTCATCAACATTTGGTTCCACCAAGCGAATGCATCTCATCATTGACGGCTTTTCGGTTAAGCACTTGAGTTTACTATGCAGCCTGTTGATGTAGAGAGATTTACCTGCAAAAAAAAAAGTCTTAATCATAAGTATGCAGAAACTTTAGGGGGTAGATATTCCCCATCTGCTTTCAAAATAGCAGAGTACTGTACATATATACTAACCAACACCAGCTCTTTTGGATGATACGACGCCAACGCACAGTCGGTCTTTGAATGCAGCTGCAGCACTGCATTGGTCTTCTGGCACAGCGTAGTGCTTGTGGAGGTATTGCTGGATCCTCGCCAGTGGTTCCTGGGGAACTACGTGCAACCTGTAGCGGCTGAAGGCTGACGGAAGGTAGGCATGTTCCCTTTCCGAGCTGCAGATGATAACGAGTCTGTAGTCTTTCCTGCTCTGCATTTTAATTCGCTGAAAAAAGTTCTCTACTTTAGAGCTCACATCGTAAGTGAGCAGATCTCCAAAGAGCAGACAGTAGATCTTCTGTCCCGGGTAGCCTGGGCTGAGACAGCGTCTGAGGAAGAGTTCCACCTGTTCATATGGTGTCGAGGAGTTGCACAGGAGGACCTCATCATACGTGGGAAGTGTCTCGTGTCCGCTACTCATGTAAACGGAGATGCAAGATGTCAAGACCTCGTCGTGCGGGCAAACAACGAGGTTTGGATTTCCAGTGGTCAGGCCTTGAGGTAGAAGCCTCCTAACGAAGTCCAGAATGTTATAGGGCGAAACGTCTTCCTCGCTCTCATCTTTTTTGTTGGCGAGGATCTCCAGCAGTCTTCCGAGACTTCTGATGTCGAGAATGTGCGGAAGATAATCCTTCATGTCTTTCATATATGCATTCCATATCAGATCAAATTTTTGAGAACCATTGGCTTGTTCCGCGAGACTTAGAAGGGGATCCAACTCGCTGTGTAAGTCTGGGTCCCCCAGCTCACTCTGTACCATTACAAAAGTCTGGAACTCAATGTCTTCATTTTGCTCAAGTGGTTTGGTGAGGATCTCATACTGGAGTTCATGCCAGACCTGCCTCAAGTCTGAAGCTGTGCAATTTGACTTAACAAAGGAGAGCATCATGAGAATTTGGTCCTCCACGTTGGTGACATTTTGCTGACTCAGCTTGCTGCAGAGGTAGACGACCTGCTCGGCTGTATAGTAGTTCAGATAATAATGCAAGGACCGCTGTTTGTCCACAAAGTTCATCCAATAGTGCAGGCACTTCTCCATTTTCCTACAAAACTCAGGGAGTTGCTCCTCTATGCTGCCTTCCACTATAACAATACTGAGAACACTGCCCAGATTGAAGTCCATCACAATGCTGGGTTCCTCACTCCTTAAACTACAGTTGATCGTAGCTTCCCAGTGTCTGAACAGAGGGTTGCCAGCAGTGTAGAGGGCAATGAATGCTTCAGCCAGTCTTTGAACACTGGCAAAAACCTGAAAAAAATGAATACAAACCGTAAGTCAGGTGAAACTTCCAATCCTTCTTGTATTTCTTTACTTACTAAAGTAATACTGTGCGTTTTTAAGGCTAAACAAAGTGGCCTAGGCTCACAACTTCAAAATAAAACATATCAATATACCTCTGCAAAGTGATCGACTTCATTCTGGCCCTGATCCCCTTTCCCAGACATCAGCATGAGTTTGTTCTGCAGCTCACGCAGGTCCTCGAGAGAATAGGAGCGCATCTGCTGACCCTCGTCGTGCTCCTCAGGAATCTGCAGCTTCAGGGCGGTGTCGAGACTCAGCTGGATTGAAAAAAACAAAATACACTCTCAAACATCGCGACATCTCTGTGCAGCATGGACATAGTGACGGGATCATCATCGTTACCTTTTTTACACCTTGAGCACTGATCAGGTAGATGCCCTTGTTGTTGATGGCTGATGCTAAAGAGAGTGACGACAGCTCCACCGACCCGTGACTGTCCTTCACAGTCTTTAGCCACTCCAAATGGCGTGCGCTGTCACGCTGCAAAAGATGATTAAAATAGTAAATAGTGCGGTTTAATTTGGATTAGTGAACTCACGTCTCCTAACTGTATGGTAACTTTGACATGAGTTTTCTGCATTTATTATTTGTATTCTCCATTTTCAGCAAAAGCTCAACCAGCCAGAGATTAGTAAATTATGCGTGAATGACAAAGTATATTTTCCAGTTTTGGATTTAATTAAGCTTTGTTTTAGTATTTATAGTAAGGCTGTCAACATTAACGCATTAATCTATGCGATTAATGTGGCCTAGATTAATGCAACAAAATATTTTAACTTAGTTAACGGTTGTTTGTTTACTTCCGATCCCGGAAGTAAACCGGAAATTAACCGCGGAAACGAAACGGCCGCTAGCTACAGTCAGTTACATCAAGATAGAGAGAGCTTTTTGCATTGGAAGTAAAATAAAACAGATGTGACATATAGCAGAGAACTGTGCAGAGGAATTACTCCACGTGTCAAACAAAAGGGGGGTGAGTGTCAAACAGACCACTTAAAGCACTGCTATGCTCCATCTCAACATCTAACCCTAACCCTGCGCGGCACACAGTCTGCAGAGGACCACCACTGTGTCCCTAAAAGACGCGGTTTGAAAACATTCTGGCTAAATGTGGGGAGATTGTGGCGCTTCAAGCACAGCCGTCAAATGATGGAGAGTTGAGAGCAAAGTGCACGAGGACAGTAGGAAGATTCGCGAGTTCAACATGATCCACGCGGTGGAATTCTACCTCCAAGATGATCAAATGTGTGTAGTATGTGTTTAAAATGACATTAAGAATTAAACAACAGTGTCTAAAATACATACTTTCTAACGTAATAACTCATTACTTTAAAGACTTAGTCTTTAAAAGAAAAACAAACATTCATTATAAACAACATTGGAACAACAACATTCCTTAATCGCCATTGATCGAGATTAATGAATTTCAAAATGTGCAAAATTAATGATTGGTTAATTTTTTTTTAATCTATTGACAGCCCTCATTTTTTGTGGTAATGTTGACCATGGGTCTACTTACTAGTTTCTTTGGTAGGTTGCTGTCATTCTCCAAAGCTCTCCAGAGCTTCTTGACCACCTCTTTGAAGACATGAAAACCAGAGTCTGGTTTAAGCTCGTACAGCATTGAAGAGTAGCCAAGGACTGCGTCGTGGAAGCAGGCGACGCGATCCACGTCCATGTCATTCTCTCCCGCGGAGATCGAAGCCAGGTCAACAAACACCTTCAACTCATTGATATCTAAAAAAAAACATTACATATTGAAGACTTCACCTGAATGAGGCTTACAATAAAATGTCATTGGATTAAAAATACTTACCTTCGAGGGCATCTTTTACCCATTTCACAAAGTGTCCTCTGAGTCCCAGCTCCTGTAAGCACTGTCTGCGGGACTCGGTGATGTCCACGAGGGCCATCTTTGCCTGCATCAAGTCATCGTCAATCCTGTTGAGCTGCTCGGTCTGAAAGTCGGCATGATTCTGAAGGAAGAGAGTCAAAGTACAACCATAATTTATCATTAAAAAAATTTTTTTTTAAAGACAATGCACATTTAACGTGGAGCTGGAGGGTTACAGCAAATTTGTTCTTCCCATGATTTGTAGCATTTTTGTCTGCGATACATTTAGTTGAAATCATGTCCACTTACAACTCCTGTGAGTGTCTCCAACACCCGGAAGTCCCCTTGAAGACAGAGCGTCTCTTTGACCTTCGTGATCATTTCGGCCGAAGCCACAGCGAGATGGAGCTCGTGATACTGCTCGATCTGTTGGACCCTGGTGAGGATCCACTGTTTGTCGGGGGATTTATCAACGTTCCGCATGATGTCCAGTTCCTCTGCAAGCTCTTCGTACTTTCCCTTGTAATCTCTGAAGAACTGGTTTACCTCCTCAAGCCTTATACTGCCGTCCTTCAGACAAGTGTAGAGGTCTCTGTACTTGGCATAGCAAGGCTGGAAAATATCATCATGAATCATTTCCGGAGTTGCAACAATGTCGTCTTCTTCTTCATCTTGATTAAGGTAGTCGTCTTCAGTTTCTGTAGCAACCATGCGCTTGGCTGTATTTTCCCAAAACACACTGAATATGTGACAATCTTTAAAGGTGGATAGGACCTCGGCCATGTTTCGGATGTCTTCATCTAGGTCAAAGTATGTGACAACACCGGTTTGGGAAGAGGCCATTCGGTCGAATGGATGAACCTCCATGAACTGGTTCAGGGGCATGAGCTCGATGTTCACCTGTTGTTTCTCTTGCATGCCACTGAGGTCAACTGTCATGGAAACAAAATAAAGAGTTTGTCACATTTTTTTGCAACTACTCGATCAAACGGAACAAACGAGATTCATTGCCATACCTGTCATATATGTCCCGAGTACGTTGCTCTTTGTTAAGAAGATGTCCAAAAGCGCCTTCTCATGGTAGACATCTTTCAATTCAGCCTCTCTGCACTGTAACAGCCTCTTCATTTTGGCATTATCCCTGTATTGTTCATTCTCAGAGAGGCAGTCTGTTGACATCAAATCACACATGAACTAACGATTAGGCCAGTACTTGCTATCATAAGAAATAAGCATGGTCAACTGTTCTTTTTTATGAATTTATTACAATATTCTTGGGAAATCTTGGGTGACAAGAAGAATTATTACCAATCTTCAGAAGTTCTAAGAAGGCATTTCTCTTCTCCAGAACAATATTGAGCAGGCTGGTCTTAATGTCTCCGTGGACCAGACGATTGACGATGGCTGAGAAGGACGATATGGCTATAGCTATTCTGTCCCTGGCGTCTTGGGAGAGTTTCTCAATCAGCTTTTCGTCTGTGCCTGCAATCACAGAAATGACACGTTACGTTTTTTGTCAAAAGTCACAAAAACAAAAAAAGGCTCGATTTCTACTCTACTTAGCAGGTGATGGATCTTCCTGAATTACGGGTCATGGTTTTCGTATTATTATATTCTACCTCCTTAGAGCACAGAGGTTATTTATTTGTTGTGTGTTTAAAAAATGTATTCCAGAGGAGATACCGTGCAGTTTAAAGTAGTCTTTGGCGGCCGTCCAGGACAGGAGATGCTGAAGGACCAGTTCTTCTTCTTCCCGATAATTTCCATGATTGTCCTTGGGCCAAGACTTCTGGATAATGGCCGAGATGAGTTTCCCAAACTTCGAGTTTACCTTGAACTTCTCAAACACCTTTCCCTCTGACTTGGTCTGCATTTGAGATAAAACAGTATTAAATATTACCCTGCATTAGGGCTGCCCGGTATGGCCAAAAATCCATACCACGGTATTAAGAAAGATTCTGACGGTATCCCGGTATCTCACGGTATTGCTTTTTCAAGTCAACACATTAATTCATTGACCCCGAAAAGGACCGAGACGCCCACTCGCAACTGGCCGCCGAGTTAGCTTGTAACCGCCGAGTTAACGTTAGCCTGTTATCGTGTTAACTTGTTGTGGCTGCAAACAGCTCTTTGCCACTCGCTGGCTACCCGAACAGATGTTCGCCTCTGCTTGCTAGCAACTGGCCAGCGAGTTAGCTTCTTAGCTAGTTAGCGTGTCGTGGCTCTTTTCCGTGATAAAATGACATATCGCACACTTGCGACAGGCCTACACTCCATCCATCTGTTCCTGGCCCGGCCCCTGTCAAATTTTAGAACTCATTGTGGCCCGCGAGTCAAAAAGTTTTCCCACCACTGGTATAGACAGTAAAATAAATATGAATAACATAATTATCTTCAGTGGTTGGGGGGAGGATTACGTCACCTCGAGGGGGGCGGAGGTGGTACAAATACAATATAAAAGGGAATGAGAAGGCTTCATACCTGGCACAACGAGGTAACAGCCTCGAGAGCACATCTCTCGACACTAGCAGCAACATGTGGATGAGATTCACTCAGCTCTTCGATCTTTTTGCAGTAGAATTCGATTTGATTCTCAGCGGATTCCTAAAATCAGACAGACTCATTAACTCGTTACGGCTCCATCGAAAAGGATGAAGAAATAAAATTGGGATCTGGAGAACATGTCACTTACCCGTTTGTACTTGCCCTCAAAATCCATCATGAATGTCTGTCTCCATTCTTTTGTACAATCTTCGTCTTTGAAGTGGATGGAAATGACGTTGCTCCACATCTGAAACGTACGGCCAAGAAAACCATTATGCAGCCTTCCCTACCAATGATATGTAAATTGTCCGTTACTTTTTTAAAAACGCAACAAAACTGCTCACTTCAATCTCCGATGTGGCCTCAACTCGGTACAAGGAGGTGAAGCTGCTCTTCAGCAAAGCGTCCTTAAAGGACCAACTGATCCATGTTCTCATGATGTCCTTTGCTTCAGAGATCACAGAGTCTTTTCCATATTGCTGCTCTCTTCCTCCTTCCGGAGTCTCCTTGAAAATAAAAAAAAACAGTAATTGAGAAAAGACTGAATGATGTCTAAATGCTAAACTCTTAGTTTATGAGATTAACTTCACATACCTGCGGCTCGTTCCAGTGAACAAAGTCTGACACTGATGCAACCAGATTTATACAAGCTACAGGAATATCACAGTATTTCTGGCTGTATACTGATTTAACTCCATTGCAGAGCTTCTGTAACAGCTTCACTGCTGTTACTAGGCACTCTCTCCTGTAAGCTGCGGTAAAATAACTAAGAAGAAAACAGGTAGAGAAGATTAGACTGGTAAATTTCATTAAAATATTCAATTAAGAATCTGCTAATTCTAGAAGAGCCAATGACCTGTATTTTTCCTCAATCAGTCTTCCTTGGATGTGTGAGAGAATGGCAGATACTGCCTGCAAAGCAGAAATGCAAGAACATTAATTCAACTTTAGTATACGGCTGAATTGTTGTATTTTGAATACGGGTTACCGCTTTACCTCAAAGTTAGAGTAAGATATTTCTTGGGGAGCCTTGTTGGTGAACGCGTGCAGCGTGTCCAACAGCTCCGGGTTGATGTTGGAGACACAGTCCATCAGGCCTTCAAACGGCATCAAGAACAAGCAGGAGCGCACTAATAGTGGGTCCACTTCCATCAGGTAACTGTGGCTTTTGAACACATTCACCATTGCCCTGAAAACAGACGAGTAGGTAAACATATGTGTTGAGACACGTGTATCTATTAATAAACTGAAAGATGTTTATTCAAGATGAACTCTGACAAAGGCACTTACTTCCTTTCTTCACTGTTCATGTATGTCGGGGTACTGGCTACGTTAAGACCTTGCAGACCTGCCCACTGCGATGTGTTAGAGCTCCCAGAAGTTACTGCTTCAAAGGGCTTCGAGGTGCCTTTGAGGAGGTGGAGGAGCGGCAGCACCAGAATCCATCTGGGCATTTTTTCGGTTCTCACGATGGTTATCAGATTGACCAATAGGTCAGGAAGACTGGAAAGGAAATTGTTATTAGCATCTGAACAGTAAGAGAGTAGATTGGGAAAAAGGATTGATATAGAGGAGATTACAGGATTGATTAGATCTGCCACCTACTTTTTGAGAGTAGCGACACTCTGAGAAAGGTCGGCCCAGTATTTGAGGAACTCCTCTTTCTCTAGTTTGGGTAAACAAAGCGCACTGCAGAGCCGATGGAACTCCCCGTAATCCAGTTTTAATTTGAGCTTGGACCATACAGAGAGCATGATCACAGCCGCTCTCACGGGATCCTTGATGTAGAGCATCTTCCCTTCTTCATTCCTCTGCAACTGAGGAATCACCCGCGTCAGCATGAATTCCTTTATCATCGTCTTCACCTAGGAAATCACACCAGAGTCACAGAAGAGAGTAAATCAGGTGATACCGGCACATCTGCACTACACTACACTTGCATACAGAGATTATATTCTTACATCATCTGCTCCATAGTTTAGAGATTGCCATCTGGTTTGTTTTTCTTCATACACAAAAGGATCCCCATAAACCTGACAGAACTGATTCAGCTGGATCAGAAAACTTGTCACGTTGGTATCCGTCCAGCTCGTTAGAAGATCAAATATGGACTCCAGCATTATATTCCCCGCGATATTTCTGCCGTCAACCAGAGTCTTCCTTTGCTCAGGCCAGAATGTTTCTTTAATGCGTTTGAGCATGTTATTTGTTGGCTCAGCACAGATGATGTCATCATATTGATGCCAGTCCCCTTAACAAAAAAAAAAATGTTTTTATGAGAAATGTACATCATGGTGTAAAGATCAGATATGATTTGCATGCAGGCAATAACGTAATTAATAATATAGCAAATTATTATTATTTGTATATGTCATTGGGCAATAAATACAGTTGTACCAAATGAAGATTGATGAAGATGAAGATAACATTTACCATCCTCATTGACAAGATGGGGTTTCACGAACAAACATCTGTTCGTGTTCTCATGTGAAGAATCCAGTTTGTAAATGTACTCAAACTGATATTGATTCTTTTTTTGGTTGTAGACGACATATTTGTATGGTATTGACACGGACTGAGCAGCTGTTTTGTTTGTCAGCAGGCTGCCCTCAACCAGAAAACCATGTTCTCCGAGATCCCTGCGTGAGGAAGGAAAAACACGTCAAACGTGCATTATGTTACGTCAGAGAAATAAGACATGATGAGCAGCCCGGTTTTCCAGTCAATTGAAGGAACAAGTACCTGGTCACTGACAGCTCCAATGTATCATCCTCCCAGTTTCCAATGATGTGGCCGGCCCTGATGAAAATTCGATCTTCATTGGGAACCAATTTGAAGTCCTTTGACAGAACTGCATGGAAGTAGATTGTGAGTCTGTCCCGCGCAGCAACCGTCTTGTTCCTGGTCAGCCTACGAAAGCAAACACACGCAGCCACGTGTAATGTAACGTTCACACGGCGGTGACCTACAGAAAACGCCCACAAACAGTCTGGGAGAGCTCCATCACCTTTTGGGTGTCGGATCAACCGGGGCGCCGGACTTGCCGCCTTCTTCTTTGCTTTCTTTGTCGGCACCCGGACTTGGCGCCGCAGTCGACTCCGCCTCGCTGGCGGCCCGCTGACCCGTCGCGTGCTTCGCGGTCCCCTCTGGGTCCACGCTGGAGCCTCCGGGGCTCTCGGCCTGCACCAGCAGAATCATGCATGCAGGTGAAATACCCAAACTCATTTCCTTTCAAAAAGAATATATTGTAGGCTGATGATTTGGTATTGTTTTTAGTCAGCATTACCTTTGAGGGCTTTTGAGGACCAAAGAGCATCTGTGGTTCAGCCGCCTGGTTCTGCTTGGGCTTCTGGTCCTGCTGACTCTTTTCCTTCGGTTTGCTTTGTCCCGTCGGCTTCGCTTTGGGCTCCACGTTGGCATTTTGGTCCAGTGCGGGTTGATTAGCCGCGGCGGTGTTTTTTTTGTTCTTTAGGTTTTTCTTCTCTGCCTTCTCATCTTGAAGGTTGGCGGGCTTCGTCCCTTTGCCTGAAACCAACTGAGAAGCGGCCCCGTCGCTGTCTTTTGAGACCGGTGCTGGAGTGTCAGCGGGTGCGGTTTTGATTGCCTGGTCCGGGGTAGACTTTGGTGGACTGCGCTCTTCCTCGTCAGGGTTACACGGAGCTCCCTCAGGCTGCCTCGCAGGCTTTTCCTCGGCTGCGGCGGCAGATGTTTGTCCTTGAAGCCCTGGTGTGTTTTTAGGTGGTGCAGCGGCATTGTTGGCGGATAAAGAACGGGGCTGGCTCTCTAGTGAGGAGGGCCCGTCCTCCAGTGGCTCCGGAGTGTCATCCTTCGCATTATCGGAGCTTTCGCTGTCAGAGGAGTCCCTCCCAATCGCCGTCTCCTTCCCCTGGTTGTCTTCCAGGGACACATGGGACAGGTCTTGGTCGGATGACAAGTTGTCATCCTTTTTTTTCTTTTTCTTCTTCTTGTTTCTTTTCTATAAAGACCAAGAGGTAGATGATCAATTTAACAAACTAGTTTACATTTTAGAGCACAGAGTCTAAAAAAAGAGATAAACCTCTTCTAACCAGTTAACCAGTTAAATAACCATGTTATTTACAATAATAAATCTTTTTTTATTTTTAGAGCCCGTTTACTAGTACAAGGTACTAAAAAATACTTATAGTAAATAGCAGAATGGCATCACAGTATTCTGACTTCAACAGGGACAGTTTGTAGGATTTATTGTCACAAACTGAACAAGAATCCCTTAGGACTCACCGCCATGTTAAGTCAGCACATTATATGAAGAGAGAACTTTGAACCGCTGGGGAACAGTGACAGTGACACCTACTTTTTTCTTTGGGTTGACGCTGCTCTCATCATTTGGTCGTTTGGGGGATTTTTTAGACTCTGTACTGTTCGCAGGTGGGTCGTTTTCTTCAGACACAGATTTGTCAGCCGCACCTTCCGAGTCTGCCACCAAGTGTTTGGGCTGATCTGTTGTATCTGGAAACAAACAAACATGTGAGCTTGATCGTGATGTTATATGGCTCAAGTTTTCATTTTCCATGCAGGCTTTTTATGAAGTACCTGACATCAATGACTCAAAGGTCACCTGACACAGCTGCCTTCACTGTCCGAGGTTCCCCTAAAGGGAGCCGGACTGAGCAAAATCCAACTTCCAACAGGAATATCCCATACTCTTAGCTACAATATCCACTCATCCGAAAATGCTACAAACGCAAATCCAACAAGTTAGAAAATATGTGAAACTTTCCATGATTACTGTCCACACGCTGGGCTATCACGCAGATGTGTTTTTAGACTGGAATCTCCATGTTTTACAATGCTTTCAGGCAATTCTCAAAAATTGATTCATTTCTTCACCAGTAACATATATACTGATTTTTAATCATCACAACGCTCAAAGGGCTTCCCCTTCATCCTGACGGAAAAGAAAAGGTCGGATAGGCAAAGTAGTTGCAGAGTTATTACACTTTTTAACATTGGTATGTCATTTATGGAGCAGATACTAGATACTGAGGTGGGGAGAAGTTAATCCCAACCCAGATCATTCAATGAGCAGAGAGAGTAATACTTACTGATCACTTCTTTTCACATCAGCCGCTTAATATTCTCATCAAATCGTTTAATAAGTACTATAATTTAGGTTCATGTCATGACAATTGTACAGAATAAAAGGTGTTCAAGTCACGTCTAAACACATACACCCATCAGCACTTTATAGCAATTAGTGTACCTCAATTTCCGGGAAATGATATTCGGTATGCTGTGTTCACAACTCCACTCACCTTGTGTGTTAGCAGGTTGGACTGATAGCATGCAGCCACACGCACTGCAGAACTTGGCTTTTAGCTCCAAAATAACGTGGTCACAAGCTGGGCACTTCATCTTTGGACGCCTGCAAATAAAAAGTAACCGTTTTTTAACTGAAATGTACCTTATGAGCCTGGAGAAAATCCCTTTCGCTTTCACTTCACCTTCTCGACGCCTCGTGAGTCAGCGCTCACGGCTCCGCAGCAACAACCTCCCCGCACGTAGCTGCTCCTTCTCATCGACGGGAACTTCGAGTGATCTTATCAAACAAACTGACCTGCAAACATTTCGTCGGATGATTGAGATCAACTGGAGCGACTGTGCGACTGTGCGGCGGTCCGCGAGTCAGCGCACGGCACGCCCACCCGTCAGCGCGTCAAACGAACAGCCAATCAAATAACTCTCTTCGGCCAGAGTGGAGGGATAAGAGAGAGGTCTCACTGCGCCGCTGAAATGTGACACGAGCCACAGAGGCTCTCTGAAGCTAATCCAATCACACGATAAAATATTTAGTGAGGCTATTCATACCCCTGGTATAGGCTATGTATCATTCTATGGAACATTCCCTAACATAAAATATGTTGATTATTCTCAAAATGTTGTTGTTGTTTTCCCTCCGCAACCATTTGGCAATCCCCTGAAATGATCTTGCGATCCACTTTTAGGTCTAAATGCATATTGATATTGCTGTGTTAATTAGTATCTAATAAAAAGGCTAGCATACCTTTTGGTTGTTTTCATTGACGAGTGGGAAATAAAAGAATTAGCTATTCCATACTGCATTTATTTGGGCTAACGTATTAAAGTATTTTAAATGTGTATATTCTTTTTAACATATTTGCTCTTCTCAAGATGTATAGATAATGCCTTTAGCAAATAGTGTTGCTAAAGGCATTTTTATAAAGTCGGTCCCTAAGAAATAAAGTTTGTTAACACAACATTGATTGATAATAGTCAAAAAGAAGAACGAATCTGTAGAGGAAAAAGAGGAGCTCATCTGTAACTCTAGTTGTCTGCGTCATCTCCTGTTTTATGGTTAGTAACCACTGCTGCATTCATTGTGATTGGAAAACAGCAGATAACACCTGCAGAACGAGTAAGAATATGCCCACGATCCGACCGGACAACATTTTTAAAGCACTGGAGTGATTGCTCTTCCTCGTGACAAGATCTTCGGTATATGGCTCCAAAGTTCAGCCAATGAAATGTCCCTTACGTCACTTCCTGCTTGGACCCAAGCGACAGACAATAACAGCGACGTTAACTAAGCAGCCACACAGTACAAGTCATGATAAGTACATTATTACCGACACAATATTTATAACTATAGCGACAGCCCTGGGTCTCACTACAGATCCATATATGTACTACGTAACGTTCACTAACTGACGTTAATTCTCTCTTTGAGTTGCGTAAGGGTTAACTTAAGCTAACATTAGCCGGGGTCTGTTTGCCCCTTTTCCACAAAGAGAAAACACCAACGAGCCGATGCGACTACACGTGTCACCCAAACGGCACCGCGTCCTAAACCACAGTCACGAGTCCCGAGCTGACACCCCCCTCCCTGTCCGCGAGGTCTGCTAGCGACTCCGGCTGCTCTCATGCTAACCTGGGGTTACATGGTCAGAGTCGGGCCGCTTCACCTGCGGCCGTCACATAGACGCGCTCACCTGCCGCGCTGCGTCACGTCGCCTCGTTGGGTTTCGCAGGGAGGGAAACAGCGCAGAAGGCAGCTCGCGTCCGCCGCCCAGGACGCGCTGTCGGGAGTGTTTCTGTCGCTTCGTTTCCGCGTGTGTTGGGAAGTTTCGTTTATTCCGAAATGGGCGTCGTCTAAGTCTAAATGACTTCTGTCAGCTCTGTGTGTGTGTGTGTTGGGAGAAATGATTTATGTGTGCATGTGCGGAAAGTAGAAACTGATTCGGACTGACAATTGTGTAACCTTTATCTTGTGACAAAGGTTGGGATCAAGTGTGTGCATGTTTAAAGAATACCAGAATATCTGTGTGCACTGTGGCACAATCCCGAAGGGGGAAATGTGCTTTCTTGAAAAATGACCATCTGGAAGATGATTCCAGCAATGATAGACACACATTTAAACAATATATTGATGTTAATCTGTTTCAGTTTTTGGGGGTTTGACTTGCCACAAAAAATCCCATTATTCCACATAATTTTAATCTGCTAACTACAGCCATAATTATTTGCACAATTGGTTATGATGCGAGGTGTATGAGTAAAGAGTGCAAAACGATCACGGATAATTATGTTATTTGTTGTAGATCTGGGGCCACTGAATCAATGCTTTATTTCCTGCTCTCTATTGTCAAAACCCTCTGGATTTGTAGGCAACAAATAGCTTGAATGTTTTAAACCCTCACAGAGCAGTACGATCGTTGTACCCATAACATGCAAACGTATGATATGTCACTTTGAGTGTCTGTTTGTGCTCTCCTTACAACTGATGCAGTACAACAAGTACAAAGATACAAACTGTGTGCTGTGTTCCCTCACCCTGAGGAAGGAGGTACGCTCTGTTCCTGCGTATTGAAAGAAACGGGAAACATGCAGATGTTCACCGGGACACATGTGGCGATGCCTGTTAACTAACTCTCCCAACAACTCTCACATCACACCCACTTCTCCACTGAGCATGACTCTGTGTTGCATTAGAGCAGTGGTTCTCAAATGGTACGTGGGGGCCATCCAGGGGGTACGTGAGATTGAAAATAATTTTCTTCAAAGTATCATCCATTCAAATCCTGAATCATTAAGTTATTTAATAAATATTCAATAAAATATTAGATAAGTTTATGAACTGAATTTTATACTTAGTAGGCTATTCCATTTTATTGTCATGAACCAAAAAGCCCTGTGCTGGTTAGGAGGCACGTGGCTGAATAAATGGTAATGGAGGCTTAACATCACCATTGTTTTAACGTGCTTTGCTCTCAAATTGACAGCAGAGGGCAGAACAATCCGAGAAAATTGCCGAGTGTGGAGTTTAAAAAAAAATTAAAAATTTCAACCAGATGTCGACCACAAAGGATTTCACACGTAACCAATGTGCCTTAAAAAAATCAGTCACCTGAGTAATCTTGCTAAAACACCTATCTTCAGTGTTTCAGTTTCTTTTTGCAATGAGTTGCCATGGTAACAGGGACTCCACTCCCAAGTGAGGAGTGTTTTACATTCAGGAAGTCAGATCCAGAGGTATGGAAATGTCTCCACCGTGCAACATACTTGCATTTAGAAGTTAAAACAGGGATAACTTACAATAAAACCTGTGTGCCTGAGTCAAGTTAAGAATAAAACTGCTCGGATACTATTTATACGACAGGAAGTTGAGGTCTTCAGTGGGTTTTGTACAGTTGACAAGAAACATGTCAAAGCCTCCAAGAACTTGCATGGAACGGCGTGCAGCTTATATCGGATCATTTCAGCAAGCTGTGATCTCGTGAGAATACAAAGCTTCAGATTTCAAGTCGATTCTTCACGTGCGGCGGTGGCCTTTCTTTAGTTTTGAGCATCAAAGATTGGTGTTGAAGAAAGAAAAATGTTTTTGTCAAAGCTTGTGATATTTGACAGCAGAAATATCAAAAAGAAAAGTGTTCAGGCATTAGCACCCTTAAATGTAATTTAAATGTTGTTCTTAAAATAGCAGTAGCATGATTATCCAAAAAACGTGTCTATATTCAAGACACGTTTAATCTTGTAGTCACGTAATCATAAAGCTCCTGTTTGATGTTAGTGTGTCTGAATACATGTATTGTTTCCAAAGGTTAGATAGCCTTTTCTCTTCTTCCTGTGCAAAGCAAAACTTCCTGTCTCATGATGTTAAGTGTCAGATAAGTTCCCAGAAAGCAAGTCAAACACAGCAAAGACAAGTTGCCACCTCAGTAGTTTCGGCTCAACATGAAGCCAGGCCTCGGGTAAATGACTGTACTCAACTGATCACATCACTGACGAATCCTTTTTTTTCTTTATAAAGTTTCCATTTATGCTTTTAGTCTCTTAATTGTTTTTATATATATTTGTATACACATAGAACACATTTATTAGCCGTTACTAGCGTAGCAAACCCAAAACCTCAAGTTTAATTTTGTGGGTAATGTAGAGTTGAAAAGGAATGTGTGTAATGAAAGTGAAGATACAGTAAATTTAGCACCTTGTTTTTTCCGCTGTGAGTCCAAAAAACGTATTTAAACAGCAACGCTGAATCGGTGCAGTTGTTGCGGTGAAAAATGGAATGCGTGACCCTGAATATGTAAAAACACCTGCCTGTGCAGAGAAATTATTGGGTTTTAACCCGCTGAACAGACAGATTTGTGAACATTTGTTGTCCCTGTTCAATTTGGGTTTGCTCTTATTGCTCCAATACTGCATATATATTCCATCATTATTTATTTCCCATGTTTTAACAGCCTGATTTTGCAGTGTAGTTTCACAGTTAGGAAAATGATTTTTGGAGGCTCACAGATAAGTGTGTGCACATCCATTAAAACACTTTTTTCTCTCTCTTTGATGAAACCTAGTAACAAAGGAATGAGTCAGAGAAAACCTACTTGCACCTTTTCACTGAGGCTGAACTCTGCTGGCAACCAAATGAATGTCAAAAACATTCATCAGGTTATTATTGTGTTGAAAGGAAAACAATAAAATCGCGCACACACACATAGCCAGCAGCACAACAGCAATGTAAGGAAATCATGCCAAGAAGTAGATCAACCTTTACAGACTCAGATAACATAACACAGTGTGAGAGTTTAGACTTTCTTTATTTTATCGGTTCCAAAAGCCAATTTATTGATGTTTCGTTTTGATTATTTGAATCTTAATGGAAACGTCTCTTTTGTATGAAATAGGTCACTTTTTATGAAATAGGTCGTCTTTTCTTTTGAGTTAAAAGTATAATTATGACATTGTTTGCTTCTTTCTTACAGATTTTTAAGTGCTGCAAAGTGCCACGTGTTTGCTTGCTCGAGCTATGAAGAATTCAGCAGTTGGCTTCTGAAAAAGAGACCAAAAAGGTTTGCACTCCAGACGTTGCATGCAAATAATCATTCTGTGAATCTGTAAGTATTTCCCGAGCTTTACCTGAAACACTGATGTAAATCACACTCTCGTCGACACGGGGATGGGAGTCCGTCGGCAGCTCCCTGCGTGACACAGTCGGTCAGCACATGAGCCTCCGATGCAACAAACGCGAAAAAGAAATGTAACAAAGTGCAAATACACATCTCACGTGTTGGACTTTTTGTAGTAGACGGTTGAATAGACAACTTCTTCTGTTCCTCCCTCACACGGATGTCTCTCCTGTGTGTGGTTATTGGCATACGGGAGCCAGTTGACATAGTCTGTATTCTGCACATAATCATGAAGGAAAAACCTCAACATGAATTAGTGTTCTTCTGAAGTCCAATCCCGCTTTTATGGTTTTATTACGAGCTTACCACCCACCACCCACACAGCCAAAAAGACTTGACTCGCCTTTCGCATGCTTAACCCAGTTGCAGACAACCTCTGTGCCGCTGATGGCTTTAATTACAATATATACTGGAGAGTCGTTTCTGAATGTATGTCGTGGAAAGTGCACCTGTATGTCGTCCTCATTCTCCGGCTTCGGTATCCAGATCCTTTTTTTATGGAGTCTGAAACACATAAAGCGAATCAGGACTCTGCCATGAGACATAATCGTGATATTTATATCAGCAGACCCCTGAGTAAATGATGACACAATTATATACGCTGAGAGCGCACGTATGACAGATAACAGTTATGACCACATAACTCAGTAAGACGTTTATTGTTAATTTTATATAAGGGTGTGTATTTTTAATGAAACATACTGATACCCTCATACGGTCCATTTTGCATATTGAATACCTTTACTTTTTTTTCACTAGTGGCCATTAAACTGTATGGGTCCCCAATATAAGTCAATATAATGCACAATATTACTTTTTATTCATCAGATCTATCTTATTTTAATTTTTGTTCTATTTTGTAGTTGTATTATCATTACTTCAGAATAACTTCCTTAAGGATTAATGAAATGATATCTTGCGTCGTACTTTTACATGAGTAACATTTGAATCGACTTCTACTTGGAAAAGAGTTCGTATGAGTACTACAATTACTCGAGGAAAGCATCTCAAAGCGTTTTATGAAATTGGAGGGGTTTCTACCTGAAAGGGGATTTTCAAAATCGCTCACCTCCTGAGGGTCACCACAGCGATCACAATCAGCAGCACAGCAACAGTGGCAATAATGATGACATCGCTGCCGAACGGTGCCCAATATTCTGTGAAACAAAAAGAAAAAAGAGTGTTAGAGCTGTTATAAATATTTTTTATAATTAATTTCAAAACTTGACATGTCATTATTCACTAAGTGTATCAGTTCAAGTATGTACAACTGCACTTATTGTAAGTCACTTTGGATAAAAGCGTCAGCTAAATGACGTGTAATGTAAAAGTTAAATTCTGTAACGTCATCCTTACTTCTTATCTTTACTGTCACAACAGAGGAGTTTTGGCTTCCATGTTTGTTGGTGGCACTGCATAAATACTGGCCACCATCAGCAGGGAGGAACTCAGGCCAAGGTCCAACATCCATGATGTCAACATTGTCATCTTCATCATCTATTTTAAACCAAGTGTAATTCTCCACTGGAGGGTTTGCATGGCTGCTGCAGATCAGGGTGATGTTGCTGCTGAAGTCTCCCTCCATGGATCCTCTGACAGACACTGATGTGTTCTTGGGGCCATCTGAAAGAAAACTGTTTACAATCAGAGAAATCTAGATGCTTATCCTCAAATTAGAAATAGATTCATTTCACTCATCCAAATCAAACTGTTTCCACTCAATTACTTAATTACACTTAATTACTAATAATAACTCATTCTGTGTCCATCTTGTGTCTCATACTCACATTCAACATCTATATTTAGGACTCCTGAAGTCTCCGTGTGTCTTCTCAGAGAGCAAGTGTAATTTCCAGAGTTTGTGGAGGACACGTTGTTTAAATAAAGTACAGGTCCTTCGTTTATGGGTTCTCCATTCTTAAACCAGATGAAAGCAGAGGAATGTTTATCACAGACGTTTACGCAGGTCAGATTCACTGAGTCGCCTTCCTCTGTTGCTCTGACTCCATCGGGTCGTGTCGAGAAGATCTTCAAATCTAGAAGGGCAAAGCACTGCTTCAGTTTCAGACTGTACACATTGAAGTGCATAAATCAGTCACAGAATAGAAGACTTACCAACTATCTTCAATGTTGGGCCGGGTCTGCCGGTCCATTTGCCATTTTCTGAGTTTGTTGTGAATCGGAATACATATTTTCCAGCATCATTGTGATCCACTTGGTCCATTTTTAAAGAACAATTGTTCTTTTGGTCACCAATGTACTGGAATCGGGTGGGAACTTTGTTTGAGGAGCTGTCATAAACCAAAGGACTCTTGACAGGACGAGACTTTACATGATACCACATTACATTCTTCACCCTCAGGTTGTAAGGATGATCAAATAAACAAGGAATGACAACAAACGATCCATTCACCACGCAGATGTCTCTCTGGGGATACACCACTCGCCACGTCCCACAGTCAACCCCTGAAAGAGATGGATCTATTGATACCCTGTCAGTTTCATAAAACATTAAATGACGTAGATGTCTTACTCACCAGACAGAAACACTGGCATCAGTGTCCATATGAGTTTTATGTTTTCAATGCGCATGTTTCCAGGTACGTCAAATGGCTGTGAGTGAACGAATGTGATTTTTCTTCATCCGCTTCTTGACGTAGTGAAAACACGGCTTCCTGTGACGGAAAAATAGGGTTTTGATCGCCCTCAAAAGGTTCTCGGCTTGTGAAATCAGGTCACGGACTCAGTGCACGCCTTCAGCTTTCTCTTGTCAAGCAGGCCCTGAAATTAGGAGAGCATATGTGGTTTGCATATATGCAGGGTCTCGTGTTGCTTTGTTGCGGTCAAAGTAGTCACATCATCAGCGATGTCTCTCTGAAAAGTTTTTTTTTTTTTTTTTCAAATCTATTGTGTAGTTTTGTTTGCTTCTGGTTGTCGGGTAGAAATTTCCAATGTAATAAAACAATGATAGACTGTATTGCCTCTAAGGAATTTTGCCTTGGAAACATTGTCGGCATGTAAAATATTGTACATTTCGCAGCCAAGTAAAATACACCATAAAATGACATGTTCTCTCTCGACAACACAATAACAGTTTGCATAGATTTTGGACTTTCACGCGACTCTGACGGCAACAATATGTGTTGCTGGCCTCTTGAAACAACTTTAAAATGCATCCAGTTTTTTTTCTTTACTTATAAAAAAAAGTTTATTTTTTTTCACACACAATTTACAGGCCTGCAAATTAGAATATTTCCCGATCCCCTTGGGAATAAGGTTGCATGACGGATGGACGCGTTAGAGTCCGACCTGTGAGCACAGGATCTCTCCAGGGTGCGTACGAACCGTCACGACAGGTTCCCTATAAAGAGCGCGCAGACGACGCGCATCGCATTCGGCTCGGAGCTCGACGAGGAGATGATGCCCGCCACCTTCGTGTTCCCCGTGCTGGTCGTCTCCTTGCTGGCGGCCGGCGGTCCGTCGGAGGCTTGGTACAAGCAGGCGGCCGGTCCGAGCTACTACTCCGTGGGCAGGGCGTCCGGCTTGCTGTCGGGCATTCGGAGGTCCCCGTACGTCCGGAGAGCAGAGCCGGAGCCGGCGGACAGCGACGAGCCGGCGGACGAAAACGCGTTTGCGCAACTCACGGCGCAGAACTTCATCCTGAAGACGATGGTCAGTTGGGGGTCGACTTTGGGAACATTTGGGGGTTTGGGTGGGATTGTCGTTACGCATGACTTTTTGCAAGAGCGTAAAAGTGGGATAGATATTAAACCAAAAAAATGACACCTATGTTGTAAAATAGTGCAGGCTGGAGTGGAATTACTCATTTCAGACGACCATTATTCTACTCAAGTAGGACCACACTTCTTTCATCACTTTCATTTTTAAACCAGAGCCCATACTAGAGTAGCCACACCAAGACTACATCTTTTTAACTACAAGGAGAAATATCAAAAATGAAAGGAGCCAGTACAAATGTCAATCAAGCAAAATAAATCACTATGTACAGATACGCAAGTGGAGTATTTTTATTAGCTGGTGGAGGGCATTTTTGGATTGCATAATATACTGGAATTATGTATTCCATTGTACACGCTTCCTTCATGTTTTGTAAATGTAATAAGACTTCTAAAACAAGTAAAAAATGTTATGAAATAAAGTAGATAGTGCAGTAAATCCTGAAGATATAGTCTATATTTCGGCATTTCTGATTCAAGTGTAAGGTTTATGGTACATTTGTTTTGTTTTTCTGTTTCTTCTCCAAACAGCCTGTTTGCATCAAAGACATTTCCCCAGATCTGCAGAGCTGTGAACTGCAGGAGATCACGGGTTCATTTAAGTGCAAAGCGGACATCTTCCTCACTCTGGACTCAGCCGACTGTGGAGGGGACTGAGCAGCAGAGCCGACGGCTGGACGATGAAAAGGCTCAGAGACAAGTCCCTGTATACGTCCAAGTTTAACACCAATACTGCACTGGACGGAAGACAGACCTTCATTCAACATTTCCTAAATCAATAGACCCGTGTTGAACTTTACTCTGTAAAAGTAATGTAAATAATCGATGAGTTTTCATTAATAAATGAATCTTAATGCAACCCATTGTTGGAATTATTGGAAGTAAAACATGTTACAGGGAAATGTGTTCTCATTTAGATGTAATGACTAAATCACTGCAGTTTGGTCAACGACCAACTGGCACAATCTTCAGTAATTGATCCAGGTATGATGTATAAAAAGTACTGAAAAGGAAATACTGTTGTAGCAAACATGCATGTCTTAAAACAGCTCACAATGGGTTGATGGATAAATATGCATGTTGAAAACGACTTTATAGAGATAAATGACATTCAGACAGGACCAGGCTTATACATATTTTTTTATTTAAAAGGTTTTAAAATAATTAAGAGTTCAATATTATAGTAAATAGCAGTTAAAACAAAAAAAATTAGCAATAATTTGCTCACGGTAAAAACTGATGAAATAAAAATTCCACCGCTGCATGACAACACACACACTTAAAATCTAAAAAGCCAGGGGCCTTTTACAGCAGCTGGACCGCTGCTAGATTCCCCTTCATAACCTGATCTATGACCATGTGGAAGACCACCTGCACGTTGGTGGTGTCTGTGGCGGTGGTGAAGTGATGGTAGACGGGCTCGGCTGGACTGCAGTTACACAACGAGAACATGGCAGCGATGTGGTGGGCCGCAGCGTCCACGTCACAGTCTGCTCCTGGTTGGGGTCGAGGAATGACAAAAAAAATAAAAATAATAATCAACATTTTAAGAATGGTCCAATCTAGAGACTTCTAATATCAGTAAACACTGGTTTGCTAATTGGATATTTGCTATTGAATGCCCTTTGTTTCCACTAGAAAAGGTATGCCATACTCAATTTCACACTGATTAGGTCATATAAACATGAAATGAACCCTTTCTGGCATACCTTTGTAACTAGAAAGGTAAAATCTCAAATGCCTTCCAGAGTGCAGGATCTTGTCCCGGAAAAGGTCCGTTTTGTTCATGAACAGAATCTGTAGGACAGCGATGACAAGTCAGAAAAAGTCATGCCGAATACAAATCGCCCCACAATAAAACAGAAGACTGAGCGTTTAACAGAGCTTGCAGCCAACTTACTAAACACACTGCAGCGCCCTACACCTCAATTCAACTTTGTGCCAATTGTGTACGTCTCAGTCAGACGCAATCAGAGCCTGCTTGTGTCCCATCAGTTTGAATGGTTACCAAGAGCCCCACTTGGTGCTTTAATCACATTAAAAACAAGTGTATCAGAGTCTGCAGAACACTCAATCACAGGACAAGTGATACATTATTGTATTTTTATTAAAATAAGTAGGTGCAATTAAACTTACCAGTGAGGTGCTCCTAAAGACGGTGTTGGTGCAGATAGATTTGAAAAGCTCAAGACTTTCCTGCAGTCGATTCTAATGGGACAATATGGATGAGTTGTAGAGAGGCGGGGAGAATTGAGTTTGCACCAAATTTCAGCAGAAAAAAACACACCACATTCGAATCAGGCGATCGCAATCAAGTCTTTTTCACAACGTACCCCTGAAGGGTCTTCTGCCTGTGTCATATCATAGCTGCTGAGGGCCACCACGAACAGCACTGCCTGAATACAGTCAAAGCAGCGGAGCCACTTCCTCCTCTCACTGCGCTGCCCTCCGACATCATACAACCTGTCGATGAGCGAGCAATCCAGTCATGCCTCAGTCATACTCGCAACATTAGATGTCTGAGAAAATAAAGATTCATTGTGCAAGGTTCTTTGATGTCGGGTTAAAATACTCAACACAACTTTAGCCTGTGTTAGTAAAATAAATAAGCTGTGCAAATGAGTGGTGTACAACTTTGTCAGTCATTCCTTTAAAACTAAATGTTATAGGGCCGTTTTGTAACATTCTGAAAGGCAAATCTAAACGTTCAGACTGTTAATATTGATATATTTCTTCACCAGTAACAAACTGAGTCGTACATATCATAGCACTCACAGGGGTTACCCTTTATTCCCACACACATAAATTGTAGAAATAGACAAAGTAGTTCTAGCGATTACACTTCATCATGGGTGTGCCATGTTCAGAGCAGAAGGCAAAAAACAGGGTTCAAGTGCATTGATTTTAAATATATATATATATATATATATATATATATTCTTAATACCGATATTACTTTAAACCCAGTTAAAATATATGGGAAATCCATTTCAAAATATGATCCGGCAGCAAGTGAAGTCAAGGGTCTCAGTGACACAGGTAATGGCTTCCAATTTGGGCCAAACGGTCTCCAGGTGCTTCATGTCAGAGGTACTGAAGCGTTTTATCCCCGGGTCAAGAATCTCTTTTAACAAGCAGAGTGACAATGAACCACAACTGTGGCATTTAACAGCAGTAGCGGTTATTCTTTGTTTTTCTTCAGATTTAGCGGAACGAAAAAAGATCAGACCTGTAAAGCGATCCAGCTCGCAAGCTCGAAAAGGAACGAACGTTATTGAGTTTGAGAATTCATCAGAAGACATCCGAGGCAGACTCACTCGCACGGTTTTCAGAAATGATATTACAGGTTTAAGATTAAACAAATTAAAAGATCTTATGCCGATCGTAGCCGCTGCATCCTAAAACAATCCAACTACTGACTTGGTAGACAACGATGGAGTTGAACATTTATGTAGATTCTTCTCTAAAAGTCCACACAGGTCATCAAAATGCCTTAGTCTACAGTATTCTTTCCCCCAAATAAATTTGCCATGAAGAACAAAAACGGAGGACAGACACTAACAATCTTAAACTTCAATCTATTGAACGGAGCTGGGAGATACACAAGTAACTGCCTATACTCTGAAAACAAAGGTCAAAGGGGAGAAGGTTTTATCAGTGCACCTTCACTATAATTCTGTCCACATTACTGAAATCAGCAGGCACCGGGAAGTCATCAATATTTCATATATGAGTCATATATATATATTTATATATATATATATGACTCATAGCCTCCCTCAGCTCAGTCGTGTTCTGCTTTTCGTTGGGACCCTTTAAGAGTTGGTGGGGAGTCAGTCTCCAGAGACTCAACAAGCTGCAAACAGCTCCGACACTGATGCAACATAAATGAAAATCCAAAAGTCCTCAGGACTACGATCAGGTTCGTCACAAAGGACCGTCCAATAAGCTGCTGTATTATGCACAAGCTGCGCCTCGTTGACAAGCAAGCCACTGAACAACATCCAAATGTCAGCATCACGAAGCAATGATTCTGCTGCATTTGAGAATCCAACAGAATCAGGACAGCAAACCCTCATCCAAACATCGCAAGTGAAGACCTGCAAAGGATTCCAGTCTGCTGAACGACTAGTTCAGTATCCTAAAAAGGTGCACATTCCACAATGAAATGGAGTTATTATGCACTTTATCAAAAGTATGGCGGCTCATGTAAAAGGTAAAACATCCAAAGAGCTCATCTGTACCGTAGAAGTGAAATATTGCATCAATAACGTGTTCAGGAATCTAATAGCCCCTTAAACATTAGGTAGGAAGTGATGCCGCGAGTGAGTCAAGTGGGAATTGTTAAAAGCTTTACACTTTCAATATACAGCATCATGTTAAGCTTTGTTCTAGGCGCTGTATCAGGTTGCAAACACCGCTGTATTTGCGCAGCCAGTTTAATAAATCTTACCGAAAGATCATTTCATTAAGTTGAAACTGCGTCTCAATGATTCCACAGGTCCTCACTCGCACTCTGAGAACATCCGTCTCCGTGGGAACATATTTGGGAGCGATGATTCGACTAATGTTTTCAAAGAAACTGGAGGGGGAAAAGAAGGGAACACATGTATACAACGGATGAGAGCAGCGTTACACACTGCCAACCATGAGCCCATGCACATCCAGTTGTTGCTTTTCCTTTAGATATCAGGCCAAGATGCTTGAAACTAATCCAACATCCATTAAGGGTATAGTTATAATTTAGATGAGTCAATTCAAAAAGGTACAGTATTTTGAATGGCATCGCTGAATGAAGGATCAGCAGTGGAAGTTAGTCTGTTAGTGCTGAAGACTGAAGTTTGAATATGCAAACAATCCGGAGGCAACAAAAGGACCAAGTCCACCACATCTCTGTAGTCAATCATCTCTGCTGGAGTTTTTTGTTTGACGGTCTGTCTCAATATACGGGAGAAATAATGTTTGCCACGCCAGGTATTCAAAGTGAGAAATGTCCTGTTGGGTCATTTCTTGTTTATCCGTAGTGACGAAGTCACAGCAAAAACATTTCTAGCTGCTTATTTCCATTTAAAAATGTTCCATTACCTCACATCAGTAACGGTCTGTTAATCAATCCGGATGCAGATTAAAAGTGGATTTCTAAAAAACGGGATACAGCGATAAGTTAACTTCCCACAGAAGAAAAAAGGCTTTCTGGCATTAACGAGCCAATTCAAACATAAGTTAACGTCCGAGAAGTCATTTTAAAACATTGAGGTGCCTTTGGGTTTGGGGGAAGTCGAGTGTGTCACGACGCACTCTGATCCAATATTTCTGGAGGGAGAAATCAATGTGTGGTCCAGAAGAGTGAGAACACTGCAAGACAGCCAGTGGAATTTCATCCTCGAAACCCATCGACTTCCGATAATGAAGCTGTCACATCATCTCTCCCAGTCGGACCGATAAATAAAAAGTACCAGAGTACCTTTTTTATAAATAATTAATAATGGCATTCAGCAAAGTGTATTCCACACTTCAATTAATGATCCACACTACAGCTGATGATGCAACATACACTCAAACTGATCTATGCAGAGTAGTGTGATTAATGAATGTGCAGGCTTTTTTTTTTTTTTTTATCCTCCCACAATTCAAAAAGGGCACAATTGCTGAAGCACATCAATTGAGAAAAACAAATAAAAAATTCTGCCCAGATAAATAAAAATGGTCCCACATAATAGTAAGTGGTAAGATCTCTTCCTCATAAAAAAAACCCTCTTTAAATCAAGTCTGTTTCATCTGCTCCACCCTAATTTCCACCTTCCTCGATATTGGCAAACAGTCTTTTAAATTGGTCCCAATTAAGCCTCCCATTCCGCAAATGTCACAGGAGTCATTTCCCGTGGAAGTTTTTTTCTTCCTCTCAGCGGTCGCTCTACCGTCGCGCTGTATCGACAAGATGTGACGACACGCTTCTCGCACGGTAATTTCCGATGACATTTCCGCCGTCCATCATCATCATCTGGCGGCGTCGTGACAAAGCAGCTCACTTTAGGGTCATTCTACTCACTAGAGCGCGGAGTCGTTCAGCTCAAACTCGTAACCTCTGGCCGCGGCCGCTCGCACCCCTTGGTCGGCCCAAAGCGCGCAGATGGCGTGGGCCACGAAGGGGAGCAGTTCCTGGTCGTCCCCCAAACACTGACCGCAGGACAGGATGGAGCGGGCCCACGTCTGCAACACATGGGGACATGTTGGTTTTCTTTTTATTCAAACTGCTTTCAAATGGAACCTACCAGGTCCAAATGGATCAGTAGGCCCGTCATGACCTGATCACGATGTCAAGCAACCGCCTCCACTGAGGCGTGCTGTGCAATAGAGGAATGCTGACACCTAGTGGGGGGCTATGACCACAAGATGTTTAAAACCGCATCACCTTATTGTTCTTGTTAGCCAGGTTGATCCTGAGCGTCCCCATTCCACGAAGAACAAACTTCATAGAGGTCAGCAGGTTGTCCAGTACTGCGGCCTGGGAAGGCGGAGACTCTGCGTCACGTGACTGATAACTTGACAGCATAGACAACAGCGCAGGATATCAAAACTTAAAAGCTTCGCAGGCGCTCAAATACCTTGAAACTGAGGAGCTCAGTTTCGGAGAAGCCCCGACTGTGGATAATCTTGATCTGTTTGATCAGGGTGCTTTTCCCGCTCTCCGCTGCTCCTGACACAAAAAAAATGCGTCGCTTCATGAATGCAACACTTTGGTCGAACCGAATAATGGACATTAAAGCCTTTGACTTACCGAGCATGAGGATCTTCACCACGTTCATCTCATTCCTGGCATGTTCATAGAGGTCTTGCTCGATTTTGGAGCTCCGGAGTTTGGCCTTTTTACCCTCTTCTGTTAGTTTTGGGTGGGAGCACATTCCCATGCAGATCTGAGGAAGAATTCAGTTTTCCACATTGAAAATAACAAAGTACAGAAAAGATGGAATTTTTTGTCAAATATAACAATTTAGTATAAAATACAGAACTCACTTGACAATAATTAGATGGCAGTCTTCTTAAAGCTAGTAAGCCATTAAATGTAGTTTTGCATAATGCTGACTAGAGGTTAATATAATAGTTTAATTAAAGCGGTTTCATTTCACATAATGGTAATAATCTTAATTCTATAACATGCTCTGCACAAAACAAAAATGTTACTCCACAAATCAAATTTAGAGGCGAAACTCGAGTGTGACCCTTTCACACGGGGTGACGAAAGAGAGATTGTGTTTTGTTTAATGAGTTAACAAAGTAAAGAGCGCTCTACCTGCAGCGTATGAAGACAGCAAAACATCTCTGCTTCAACTGGCTTTACACGTCGGGGTCGTTTGACTCACAGCCTGAATTGCTGATGGAAAGAGTTAAGAGGAACACACAAAAACACAACCCAGCTTGTTCATTAGTCAAATTGAGGGCACGTGTGCCCGCATGTCTCTGGACCAGCTCTCATACAGGAAGAGGAGGAACGCATCTGTTTCAAAATAAGAGCACAGTTTATCTTCAGAATTGTTGGGACATTTGAAGATATTAGAAAATTTACTCAGCACGTGTAGTTAATGCATTAAGGTCAATAATGACGTCACCTCCATGATCGGAGTACGGTAGTCTCATTTATTATTAATTATTTTATTTTTACATTTACATGCAGTCATACCAGTTCATTTCCCAAACAATTTTATGTTTTGAAAGATTTAAATGCAGAACTTTTCCATTGCAATTTTTTAAACATTAAACATAATTTCTGTGTCCACAACTGGCCTTAACCTTTGATCATGTAATTAATGCACAGCTTACTCATTCAGATCAATTCCTTAAGAAATCAGTAAGACTCTGCAAAACTCCCAAACCCAGATATGTTTTAGTGTTATGGAAAAGAATATGACAAATAGTCTTTCAGACAAAAATGTTATTATTATCAGCAATATACTGTAATCATAACAGTATTCTACAGTATTTATCAACTTGGGAGTTGTCAATAACATACACATGATAGCTTACAAGGAATACATTCCTACTTGACATACAGATATATTATAATTTTTTTTTATACAATATGAATCTATACAGTAGTTAATGGAGAGGAGGGGAGTAAAATACTGATCTACAAAAAATATATTATTTTATCACATTTGATACAGAGACAGAAGTTAAATTGCTCACGGCTCAATTACAGTAAGAGGTCTATTTCATGATCAAGTCAACCACACTGAGCATTTGTCATAGTTATAGCATGAAAACTAAAGCTTTAACCCAGTCTGTTAAAACTCAGTAGTATTCTCTATATTAGGATAAAAGCTAAGTAGTGTTGGTTAAAAAAATAATACAACTCCACTCAGAAGGCCAACGGTCATTTAGGGGTTAAAAACCTGCTCTACATGGAAAACAGGACAGTTCCGATCATTTCCAGAGTAAATTTACATGCGTCCCCAAAAGAGTTTAGTAGAGCTTCTCACATCCAGGCCCCCCAGGTTAGATGCAGAGGAACGGGGGGATTCGCTCGTGGTTTTAGTGCCCTCCGGACCTCCTATGATTATTTTATAATACATAGATACAGTACATACAGTTTATACATTGATCAGTTGTGCGGTTACATCCAATGATCGACAGAAAGCAGCCCAGTGCTTTAGAAGCAACTTATCAAATCACATCCTGTTTACGGATTAATGGCGGACCAGCATCTCAGGCATCCACAATTTTTTCAATATTTCTGTAGGCAAGAAAATAAATAAGTGCTTTAGAAATAAAAAATATCCAAAGAGATGAAATAGACATTTGAAGACATCACGATATCTTCCGTATGTTTACACCCTCCATCGTCTGCCTGTTTGATTGCTGACTGACATGAACATGTATTTGCATATGCCGAATATATGAATACACAGACGATCCCCCCACACACACACACACACACACACACAAAACCGCCCACGAGAACAAATGCGGTATACCTGATGACCCCGCGGCGGACTACGCCGCCCCGGCTTCAAACGGGCTGCTGTAAGGAGTGCCGTCATGAGCCGGGATCACGTGGGGACGGTGTAATAACGCATATAAAAGGGTTGCATTTGTACTGTACATGAGCTTAGATTAATTGAGCTGTTCGTTGTTATGTCGACACTAAGTGCATATTTGGGGCCTTCCTACAGCACGGCCTGGGATCTTTCTTTAGTCTTCTCCTCCTCTTGTCGCCTCATGGCCTGGATCACAGCCATCTCTTTGGCCTCTTTCTTCTGGTTCCTCGCTTCAAAGAGCAACCTGAATGGAAACACAAAACACGAAAATCGGAAAAATAATGAATCCAATGTTAAATCTAGTTATTAAAATGTGTTGTATTTATTTGAAATGACAAAAATAAAGTTTTGCCCAGTGGATGCTGGCTGAAATAATCTATTGTTTGCCCCCAAATCCTTTTTTAACCTGTTTTTGATTATCCTCTGCACAATGGCATCCGTAGTAAGACTGTTCCCACTGTCAACGGTACGCAGGATTCCCTTCCTCCTCGGCTCCTGGATATGAAGAAATAATTTTGCGATTTAGATGTGATTGATTGCTCCTGCAGATTACAATATTTTGGATGTTTTTTAAACTGTGAGCGACGGTGTTTATCCTCCTACAGCGTAAGGGTCAGAGCCATCCTTGTCAGGATATATTTCCGTCTTCCCATGGCATACGAGGTCCACCTGTGGATGAAAAAAAATGTTCTACTTTATTAATTTTTAATTCAAGAGAACATTATCAACTAGTGGTGCAAGATAATTGTTTTGCCTTTAATTACCTTGAAATGTTCCAGCAAATCTTTTGTGACTGCGAAGGGTGCACCAATCACCACTTCTGACACATACTGTGGAGAAAGAAAAAATCAATACACATGAAATGAACTGGGGATAATTATGAGTGCAATGCACTGTGTTGACGGAGGGAGGGGGAACAAGAAGAAGAAGAAGACCCAACTCGACAAGCCAGCACGCTGAGTGTTCGCTCGTGGACATTCATGATGGGGTAGTTTTTCCCTTTGTAGCGGTTCACCTCCTAAAAGGAAACCAAAAATAGTAAAAGTGCAATGGCAAAACCGGTCTTAAAGAGACAGCAAATGTCTCAGCCACGTGTCTCACCTGATCAAAGTGCAACCCGACTATAATGTATGGCTTTTCGGCGAGCTTGTGCACTGCTTCGAGGAAGTCCACGTGGCCGATGTCTGACAGGAAGTTAGTCAAGAAGCTGACTATTAAATAACAACAGTTCCGTCTAGTAAAGGCAGTTACAGAAGTGTCTCAGTTTAACTAAACAAGTTTTAGGTTTCCATAAATCCTGAGAATGTAAAAGGATACGGAAGAGGTCAAAGGCTCCCGCCACGTAGATGATGGTGTCTCCGGGTTGAGGCTCCTGGCCTGAAGCAAACTGGATGATCTTCTGTGAGGTCTGCAGGAACTGAGACACCCCCGTCCAGGGACTGCGGCCCTTCTGACCATGTGACCCCCGTAATCCAGAAACAGGCACAATGAGTACAAACAGGGCAGCGGTGAGACAGATTCAGCGGCACTACTGGTTTTGTGTGGGAGCACCGGCCAACTTTACAGCACAACTCTGCTAGTCTACTCATTCGAATGTGATCATTAGAATCCCCAGCATGTTGACTCTGCTTTTCTTTTCCCCCCCATCAGGAACAAAAGTGACATTCACTGCGCCACTGGCACGGCCTGCGGCTTGATTATAAAGTGGGTCCACAGTGAAGGTCTTTGTTTAAAGATGGCTGACGTCTGGCCCACACAGCAACTCCAATCATTTGAACGGCAAAAACCGTCTAACAAGGAAGCCGCAGAGCCGAGAATTTAGTCCTTCATCTACGAGTTTATTAAAAAGCCGTGGATTTGATTCAATTCACTGCAAATACGCTTTAAATATTCGGCACCTACCTTTCCAAAGTTGTCCGTGTGCTGCTGGTAGTCTGAACTATCCTAAAGACAGAAGAGGATTGAATCAGGCGTGCCTATGTAAATGACGTGCAGCGTACCGAGGGGCATTTACTCACAATGTTGCTGTGATGTGCTTTGGTCATCAGCAGCATCCTGCCAACCAGATCTGTGGTGGAAACTCCCTGGGTTCGCTTACACTCCCTGGAACAACAGAATTACAACAACTTCAAATACACACACACACACACACACACACACACACGATATCATCTTGGCTGTTATTATATTCTCCCGCACACTCACCTGTACCGCCCCGACTTCTTCACCTCCTCATACGTGTCTTTCCCGTCCACCGTTAGTGTTATGTCATCTGAAAAACCACAGCGTGCAGAAATCGACGTAACCCTGTTAATATCAGCGTACTGTAATGCTTATGTATGTCTAAATAAGGACACGAGGTAGTGACAACTGTACCTCCGTGCACACAGGAGTCACAGTTGTACTTGTCCAGGGTCTGGAGGGTGGTGACGTAAGGGGCTCCTTCCACGACCTCGTCCACCCATTTTATGGCCCGCACCATCTTGTATCTCTCTGCCTGGGTGAAGACCGGCGGACCCTTGTGCTTGGCAATCTCGCCTTGAAGACAGAACATGTACACAACGATAAACCATCGACACGCATGAATCAACTGAGATTCACAGATATACAGAGATATATATATATTTTATAGCAGTCGTCATTGAGATATTTATTGTAACTTGAACTTGAAAGTCACGGGAGGATCATAACACCAGAATGCCCCAGTGTGCTTTATGAGGCAAAGAAAATGGCTCCAGTAGCATAGCATGGTGAATGCATGGTAACGGAAGGGGGAAAAGGAATTGGGGGGAGCTGCAACACGACATCCACTGAAGATGTACTGTAGGTGTGATAAGGACAATAAGTCAGCGGTTCTGAGCCTTACTGTCCGTGTGTACTCCAACGATGAGGTAATCTCCCATGGCCTTCGCCTGTCGCAGCTGGTTGGAGTGGCCATAATGGACCATGTCATAGCTGGGAGGATAAGAACATGAGAGGTTATATCAGTTGCATCATTGTAGTGAGGTAAAGGTGCAGCGGAGGAAGGATTTAAAAAAAAATAATAATTTATTCTTGGTTTTAAAATTAAACAACGGATTAAGGATTTCTTGATTTAAGTAATAAAGCCTGACAGACGCTCTTTCGTCGAATATTAAGTCACACAACTCTTCTCCGGAAGCGCATGTTTTACTCCTAATGATAATGACAGGGGGTTGGAAACGCTTCCTGGATAGAGCCTTGGTCAGAGTTGTGTGCCACGGTTCATTTTCAAGTTCCCACTATTCCCAAAGTCAGAGAGTGCTGCTCCTCTTTATTATGCAGATGTTTGGGTGTTGGACCCACAGAGATGCAGCTACACGCGGAAGGCCTGAAACATGCACAACATGATTTTATTGTTCTACGCACTTCATGTGATCTGCTAGATATCTGATGACATGACAAAACTCACACAATGTGTTTCCCCCCCCAACCAGGTCATGTGTAGATAATTAGATTGGGTACGGATAATCTTCCATGGTGATAAGGAACACATGAGTATTATCCGTTTACCACTAACACAACTGCAAGCAGCTGATTTTTATTTCTGCTCTGCAGGGATCATGATAACAACGTCTACCATGCTGCACTTCCTCTGACTGCTAAAAGTGAATGAAGGTGTCACTGAAGATGCATGGAGCTTATTAGGATCTAATCACAAGGTAATTCATTACAGCAGCGAGTGTAACCATCACCAATTTCTTGACAGCAATTAACTTAAGAGAATCACAATAATGACAACGGAATTAAAGACGGAAATGAAATTAAAATTGCCATGCGTGTCCTCTTTAGGACAAGAAGGGCCCTGTCAACTCCCAGTCCGGTGGAAACAGCACCAGGAATAGCTTCAAAAATCAATGAGAAAACAGATGAGCACTTTATCCACACGGCCACATCAGTAACAGAATCCCATGATGTTTTCAGCCTCCGGGCACTTTTATCTTGCTACGGTGTCACTTTAGACGTTAGCCATTAATGGTTTGACAAGAAGAACAAATATTACCCAAAATAAAACACGAAATAAGATGCTTGTTGTCGGGGAAGCAAGAGGGTGTCTGTGTGTGTCTTGTGCCTTCAATCTCAGGATCCACGTGTGCCGGCTCTTGAGACGAGAAGAATGTAGTAGGAGGGAGCATTTGGAAGTGGATTGAATGGAGAAGAAAACACTCGGGCCGAGTTACATAAGAGCGGGAGGCTGCTTTTGGGGCTGGACGCCCGACATGTGTTACCGTACTCCTGTTGTATTTATAGGTCGAGGGTTGGATCGTGACCGTGAGATGATGTAATATTAATCAGCGTAGCCTGTTAGCGGACACCCAAACAAGCACCTGCACCTCACGGGAATAAAGCCAGACAGACGGCAGCGGGAACAGTGACACACAATGAGACACGAGTAGGAAATACCAGCTAACAAAGATAATTACCGTGGCATTTTATTGAGATTTCATTTAACTTTAAACACCTGCAGACAAAGGGATTACGATAGATTTGTCTTGAATAATTCAAGGCATAGTCTCAGTTAATCCTGTAATGAATAATTAACACTTCACAGAGGCTTTAAATAGCACGTTTATAGACCTGACATGCCACCTCACCAGAGGCACAGTGGAAGAGGACTTTACTCTATGATGCTTCACGGACAACCGATCTTTGACCCCGCATCACCACATTTTAAGGACGGATGGATGGTAAATAAGCGTCATTGTGGCGCGAAGTGAGGGCAGGGTCAACGATGCCTCAACAAATGGAGGGACTGTGCTCTCTTCTTGGAATTTTCCTCTCATAGCGCTGACGGCGCTGGATGTCGGTCCGGCGGGACACACAATGGACTCGGTGACGGGCGCGGACGCACGAGCTACAGCGGCCGTGGCAGGTGTGGGCTGGATGGGTCGGATGGGTCAATGACATGAGCTCTGTTGACATTGGCCCTCTTTGCGTGCTCGCCCCAGCGTATAATATTCTGGCATCCCAAACATTCCGCAAACATACCATAACACCACGAACGGGCCGCCACACCTAAATGATAGGAATTCTACAAGAGAAAGCCGACATAATCCTGGCCTTCATACACAGGGATTCCAAACATGTAGAATTTTCGCTGCACCGTGGAACCAAACTCTGCAAACCAGACGACTGGCGTTTCCCCCCACAGGAGGCATCTTATAGGGTCAGTTCTAGGGCTGTGCATGATGATTGACTGCATTATTGCTTTATAAAAGAGTGCATAGGTGAAAGAATAAGATAATGGGGTGACACATTGAATTTGAATTGTTGTTTTCAAGCAAAGGTCCAAAGTTTGTATTTCACACTTGACAACGGGAAGCTGAATAACTTCTAGTGTGAAAATAGTAGATCAATCAATTCATTAGTTCAGCTAACATTTACACTTACAGCTCAATACAATTTGGTCAAGATTCTTTTGTATCAGAAAACTGAAATTTAGACATTGGTCATTTTGTCGGTTGTCCAAATTATTCCTTAAAACAAAGAAGTATTCTGACTTGCCCTTTTAAAAAGTGCCACTTTGAGATGACTGAAATATTAGTGTAGTTTCTGTGATGGCACTAAAACCTTAAACTCCACCTGGTCCGGTCCAAGTGTGTTAAGCCTAATTAGTCACATGAAGAGGGGCCAGTTCGCTGTTGCATTATTCACAAGGAGATCATTAGTGCTGCTGGGTGTCGGTGGAAGTCTTTTAATTGGACAGTGAATTTTTCCAAAGGATCTAAAGTATTTGTTTTGTCCATTGATCAAAAAAAATAAGATGTCGAATGTTTAGCTGCAGGAGCAGAGTGACCTCGGCTGTCTTTGTTCCGCACGTTTGTTGTTTTTGGCAAATGGATGCAAACGCAAGAGCTTATTTACTCTGGTGAGCATCGCCCTTCCCCTCGCAGATGTTTGTCCACGTTATTCATCGGCGTCGCGTTTAAAGCAACTCGCGTGTGAGCGCCTGCGCCGTACCCCAATTCAATCGCTCTTTCTTCCCTTATGCCGACCTGCCAGCGGGACGCCCCGTCTGTCGGTGTGTCGTTACGGCGTCACGAACCCAAGAGGAGTCAAGCTGAGAATGTCCCACAGAGGACCTGGCGAGCTGAGGTGCATCATTTGAACCTCTCCCACCTGAATTTGCTCTCTTTCCCTCAAATGTATCTGTGGAAAGCAAAAGGGAAGTATTGTTTTCAAACAATGGCTTCATTGGCTGCGGTTTGGTGAATAATGTGACTTTTTGACCCGTCAAGGCGTGAGAAGCACAGGAATTAGTAATAACGTCAAGGAAGGCTCCTTATAATGAGTCGTCTCAGCGACAGTGAGCCATGCTAAAATATCAGTGTCACAAGATGTATAATTTAAGCCACTGGACTGAATAAATTCTTCTCATAAAATTGATTTGGTCGGACACATTTGCCATGTAGACAAATGAGTGTGTGTGAAACCTCATTGGTATTAACTAATGCCAACTTTGCCACATTGCCAACAATGTGACTTTGATTGCGCCTTATGGTATACATGGACTAGAATAATATATGCAAAAACATTTTTTTAAATGTCAGTCAAGAATGATTTTCCTTCATCAATTGCGAAAAAGATGTCACTTAAACAGTTCAGCGTTTACATATAAATCTCACTTCCTCATCTTAATCCCAATATGTTGTTGTTCATTTTGTAAATAAATTGTGTCCCCCTTAAAATCAGTAAATTACTGCATTGAATAGGGTTGGAACCTAAAATACATTCCAGCAGACACTTTTATCCGAATCACATCCAATAGCATTGCATGAGCCATTACTCATATAAGTAGTATATGTTATACTGCTGTACTTAAAGGGCTCCTCAACATGACGGGGAATTAGTGAAAAGTAAAAATGATTAGTCTGTTCTGGTGTTATTATCTAAGTATGTCCATCGACTGAGGAGGGGAAGAGCGCGTATGCTCCAGTATAGATCAAAAATAATGTTAATGTAATAAATCCGTAATTACCAAATAACACCGGATACGAGAACGCACAAATACAACATCAGATTGAATTTAAAGTTGCGCGTGTGCTGATATCACCGACGGAAGCAGCCGGCCGGTGAGAGCGGTGTAACGCGCCGCGGGGCCTTGTGCTGACGCCGTCATCCAACCGGGCGAGCGGCGGCGAGCACCGCGCTGCGCCATCCTCCACCGCGCCGCCGACCATCCGCTAAGTTACTCACCAGCCGTCGCACCACAGCCGGATTCTCCTCCTCCTCTTCTCGGGGCTGCAAGCCGCAGCGCCGGGGGTCGTGCCCGCGTCTTTACCGGCCGCGGCGTTCACTTGGTGGTGCTGCTGCTGGTGCTGGTGGTGCTGGTGGTGGTGATGTCCGTTCTTGATCATGTCGAAGCTGGCGAGGGTTCAAACCTTTTGAAGTTCAGCTGCAGACACAGGAGCGACTCTCTCTCTCTGTCGGTGCGCTCGGTGAACGGTGTCCGTCGCGAAGCCCCGTGTCGGTGCAGGACAGCCGGTTTGTGGCGCCGCAGCAGCAGCAGCAGCAGCAGTGCGATGCGCCAACGCCTCCTCCAGCGGCGACGAAACGACGCAACTACGTCAAGTGGCACGTGGGCCGCGGCGGAAGTGAAGTGCCACTCGTAAAACGCGTTCGCTTGCGACGCCACAGCGGCTGGTTTTACTCTGAAAGGGCCGAACCGGAAGCCGCGTGTTCATTGTGGCGGACTTGATGGAAGGTGAATCGTACGATGAGGCGCACGCAGGCGACACGTTGTTACATAATCGCGGCGTTTTCCACTATCACGTGACCGTTTCTGTATTCCCACAGAAAACAGCAGGTTATCGTCCGTTTTTTGATGACGTGCCAATTTGTGGTCTGTACATTCACTTCAATAACAAAGATAAAACAGTTGCTTTGTCTTTAAAGTATTTCAACATGCTCGAATGAACTAGAATAACTAAGTGCTGACGTTATTTTCCCCATTATTCTTCTGTTTAAAGTGAGTAAATAATATAGTATTAATATAATTAAAAATTAAATGAAAAGGGATAAAGAAAATGTAACAGTACAAAATGTGAATTCATTAATTTAGCATACATAAAAAAACGATTTATATTAATAATATTAAACATTTTTAGATCAGAATCAAGAAAATAAAATCCAGGCCTACAAACCAGCCCTCAAGTACACTCCCGGACACTTTATTAGGTACCTCTGTACAAAGGTTTGTTAACACAAATTGCCGCAACTCAATACATTTAGGCATATAGACGTGGTCAAGACAACTTGCTGAAGTTCAAACAGCGCACCAGCATGCAGAAGAAAGGGGATTTAAGTGACTTTGAACGTTACATGGTTGGTCTGAGTGCGTCACAAATCATTCTGGGATTTTCACAAACAGCCATATAGGGTTTACACAGAATGGTCCAAAAAAGAGAAACTATTAGATGGCAGTTGAGTGAACGAAAATGCCCTGTTGATGTGAGAGGTCATGGGAGAGCGGGAAGACTGGTCCGAGATGATGGAAAGACAACAGTAACTTAAATGACCACTCGTTACAACCAAGGAATGAATACCATCTCTGGACGCACAACACGTGGAGCCTTGATCGGCTAGCAGCAGGGCTACTCCTGTCATGCAGCTAGGAACAGGAAAATCAGACTATAATTCACACGTCCCAAAGTGGGACAATAGAAGACTGGAAAATCCTTGGCTGGTGAGTCTTGATTTCAGCTACGACATAAAGGAAGTTCTAAAGGCAAAACGTGTTCCAACCTTTTACTGGCAAAGTGTCCGGTGAGTGTTTGTATCTTCGTAAAGAATGTTCTGACACTCAAAGATAATCTTGTGATGTGGTGTACTAGAGGCGAAAGGTGTGCGTCACCCCTCAATATATCATCCCCAATGAGACCTTTTAATCAATGCCTGACTCTCAGTGTCAATAAATTCTGAACTCACATGTACATCGCTGACATTACTGGGAATCAGATGGTACCGTGGTGTTATAGCATGGACTATTGACCCCCTCCTGGACTATTATGGCAATATAATGGAGACATTTCATAGTTTCAAAGTGCAACAAGTACAGATGTGCACGGTCTGTTAAGGGCCACACACACACACACACACACACACACACACACACACACACACACACACACACACACACACACACACACACAGTCTTTCCGCAGAAGAGCCAGCAGAGGGAAACCCAGACCAACATATCACATGTGAGCTAGGAAAAGGTTAAACTTCATCACAAGCGGTAACATGTATTAACATCCCCGGCTTTTACGGCTTTCTTATTACTATGACGTCACTGGCTATCTGAAGAGAAAAAAAAAACACTGTGTTCGATATTAGGACAAGCGTCTCCCGCGGGCGTGATCACTGCAGCATTACGGGAACCAAATAAATGCCGATAAACACAGCTCTAGACCCAGAGCAGCCTCGCGCGTTAAACGAACTTGCCCTCTGTCGAGGTGACGGCGCGGAGCCCCACCCCGAGCGGCGGCGGCGGGTAAGGACGCACTAAACGAGCGCTCCCTGCGGGCGGTGAATGTGAGATATTAACGTTAATTGTACAGCGGGGCTGCGGCCTGAGAACTGGGCGCTGCACAAGTGGTCGAAGATGAAGAATGCCCGCCCTAGTTTGCCCCGCCGGGTCGACCCCACCCCCGCCAAATTAATCAACTCTTCGGAGGCCGTCCGGCTTGTCTGGGGCGGGCGTCCAGAGGCGGGAGAGGAGCCTGCTTTTTGAGACACAGGTCACACCGACCTGTATGAGCGTCCATGCAACCCCACGCTGAAGGCACAGGGCGGAGAGGATGGGGGAGGGGTGGGGGGGTGGTGGTGAAGGATGGAGCAGTAACGTGTAGCCACCATCTGTCTCCTACTCTGCCGACGAGATGCGCTTTGGATGGAGGAGGGTGATGAGGTGCGCTGGGACAAGGGAGGGGGGGGGGGTGTAGGAGGCCCACAGGGACACAGATGACTAACTCACTACTCCTCCTAATCTAGGACAAGCACACCTAGACATCCTTCATGACTCTAATGTTTCACTCCGCCGGGGTTAGCCGAACTGGGTCGCCCGACAGCTTTTTTTGGATCAGAGAAAAAGAAATTGTGCCATCGAAATGATCGCTGTCTTCTTAAAAGAAAAAAAAAAAAAAAAAAACCTCACCCTGGACTTGCAAAGAGCCTTCCCCCCCTCCAGTTTATTTTATAAAAGTATCAAACTGGGTCAATGACGCCACAGATTATGAAGAAAAAAACAATTTAAAACAAATAGTTGTGCTTGAAATCATTTTTCAAAACATTTTATTGGTCTTATAGAAAATAAAGTAAGCTGTATCAACAAAACATACAATATATACATCAATAACTTAGACACCTCAGAGAATCACATTTATCCACAGTTTTTACTGTATATATAGTACTTATCTACAGATTGCAAAAAGTACAATAATTTAATTTATAAATAGTTACAATGAACTATCGTTTGTTTTCATACAAAGTACTGCAATATTTCATCTAAACCCATACAGAAAAATAATAAAAACAGATTTCCATTTCCTCTAAAAAAGGCCAACCTTCTCCTCAGAGGAACCTGAACTGTTTTCAAAGCTGAATCACAAGAAAAAAAAGTCAACGTCTTGAGATCTGTTCAATTCAACTGCCGCACAAGTGCTGTAATGTGTCCTCTCGAACGTGTTGCTGATAAGAAAACAACAAAAAAGCCTTAACCTATTAAAAATGAAATCTGCAGAACAAATTCCAGTGTTAAGATCAATTTCAGACCCACTCGACACGCGATGAGAACGGAATCGCTGCGGATGAAACTACAGCAAACAACGAGCAATAATGAGTGGAGCAGCAGCAGAGGAACCTCGGACGTACAAAACACGCACACACCAAAGAACAGACAATATTGCAAGTGGCCCTTGTGACAGAATCTACTGTAGCATCTATTTCACTCAGTGCACAAACATTTACATGACAGAAATATCCTTCAGTCAAGTTAAATTAACGGATCGGGTAAAATCATCTAATTCAAGACCAGCGCAATTAGTGAGTAAGGCTGTGAGTGCAACTGTCCCACGGTTCCACACTTTTACAGCGTTTAACACGTCTACTATGAACAAGGGCCAATTGCTCCTCCATTTAGGGAATTCAAAATCTGAGGGAATTTTTTTTAAAAGAAATAACATATGTTTACGAAAGGAATCGACCTACAGAACAGCAGGAATTATTGCATAACAGAGCATAGTCACTTTGACAATATTGATTACTCTTACATCTACTCCTGCACACCTTTTCCACTGAGTTGCATATTAAGGGTCACTTTTTCACAATGGTCATTAATACCTACTGTAGCTACATACTATACAACTGTATGCGTGAGCAAATAGAGAGTTTTGTCGCCTCTGGCGGAGAGATCGAGAGATGGGTCAACGGTGCAGTTTGGGGGAAAAAAAAAAAAAAAACGTTAAAAAAGGATTCACTCCACAAGACTGCCGACAGCGGAATAAGGACGCCAACATCAACACCGGGCTTTGTTAAATGTCCAATATATATATATACATATATATATATATCGTTCTGCTAATGTCATGTATGTGACCTTTCACCTTGAGGGGTGAAAGCGCGGCACCGCTCGGATCTCCTTTGGAGACGCGCGGCGGTGATTGATTGTAATTCTACGTGGTCTTGCAGTGTCCCCTTCCCCCCACTCCCTCCCTCCCTCCCTCCCTCCCCCCCCCCGGGCGTGGGTTGAAGCCCTTTGTGACATGCTTGTTTAATCATTTCTTTTATTGATTTTTTTTTAAAGACAAAAAATGAATCCCGCTTCCTCCATCCCAGCTTCTCTGTCTCATCTCGAATGGTTTGTTCTTTTTTAAAGAGAGGGGCCTGTTTTGTCCTGAGCAAAACAAGCAGGAGTTTAGTGCATACAAACCCTAAGCGCTTTTATTCGGACAGTCCGTGACCGGAGGGTAAATTCACAGTGCTGCTGCACCACATGGCGGCGACACACTTTGAGTTCAGTGACGCGCGACCGTACGAACTGCTGTGGTCTCGAGAAAGATCCTCGACAGCATTTGGAAGTGAGATACAAAATGAATAAATACAAAAAGAGAAGACTTCACATTTCATCTTAGTCCGTCAAAAGCAAAGTTTGGAAAAGGTTATTCATTTCCCGTTCCTACGATCTAATTACGACCAATTAAGAGGCTGGAATGGATACGATAATGAAATCTCCCAGGCGATAAAGTCAATTATTTCCGGGTTCCAGAGGATGTGCTCAGAGGGCATCCAGCACCGCGTGCGTCCATCGCACAGCTTCCAGGGAAAAGTCACTGACGCCACGTCGCCCGCTCCTCCCCCCCCCCCACGGCTCGACGCGGGGAAACTCTTCATGACAATGTGATTGGTAACTAACACCGAGGGAGCGGAGGAAATCACGGCTGCCAATACGCACAAAGACAATTGACCTTGTTTACACCACCTAGTTTAGCTCAACAGAGTTGTTTTGAAAATAGCACAGCATTGACATCTACACAGTGACGACACTGCCAACTTGTCACTTACACATCACAGCGCGCGCTACCTCACAGCACCTGCCTAGTCACTAGAAAAAAAAGCTATTAGACTTCAATAGTAAGCCACTTTCGGTACAATTGCAAAAAGATTCACAGGACTTTTTTTTTTTTTTCTTCATTTTTTTTCTTTCATTATCAGTATTTCTATAAACAATGGAAGGTAATCTACCTAGTAATAAAATCCAAGAACTCAACATTTGACAAAGTTGTCTACACCTTAACAATTCAAACAGTAAAGCTTGTGTTTCTTTCTTTTGGAAACAGACCTGTCAACAAGTAATTACAAAAAATGCAATATATATATATGTATATATATTTTAAACAAAACAACTTGAACATATTTTCTCTATGAGCAAAAACAACAACAAACAGACGTTTTGAAAAGGTTTGTGGATCTCGCCGCCCCCACAAAACAAGAGGATATTACCGTTATAACATTCAGGTATTGTGAAGAATCTTGTCATATTGGAATGTCACTCAGAAGAAGAACTGCTGATCATTGTTCACATTTCCACTAACCATAAATATGCAAGACCTCTTTGTATATTCAGTGCATACATATATTATTGCATCTACCGGTCATTTTGATAATGACAAGTTCTTTAAAGCCTGTCACACGTAAACAGAAATGAATGCTCGAGTTGGGAGCACCACTTCGTGCTTACAGACAGACAACCAACAAAAACGACAAATTTGACTGGTTTAATAGTTTTGGGCCGTTACGAAGACATCTCTAGCACTCACACCAAGAGCTTGTGACCGTTTTGTTATTAATCCAAATTCAAGTCAGTGCATGATAACAGGCAAACGGGGTTCAAAGGGTCTTGACTCGGGTTCTTAAGTGCCAAATTCTCAGGACGGAAATATCTTCAGAGCTCAGTCTTAAGGAAAACGGACACATGACAATATCCAAACATCAACGAGCTATTAACAGTCGGAATTCTCCTTCGTACTTCTGGGAGCCGACATCACCTTGTTGAGTATCTGCGACCACAAACTGCTTTTTAAAATGACATGCGGCGGCATCGCCAACGTGTCGCCATTCTCCCCCCCAAAAAACGACCCGGGATCTCCTAAACGGCACAATTCCGTAGTGTTGAACCTAAAGCACGGTGTGTTTGAAGACGGGCACGGACTGCCGAGTCAGACACCTGGCAGTGAATTTGGGAAGCATATTGTTAGCGTTAGTGCCGAGCGGGGTTAAAAAACGTAGCACTTACACAGGCAGTCCTCCGGCGTGTTACGATGCACTGACTAGTTGAGTCTTGAAAAAAAAAAAAACTCCCTGCCGCCTTTTTCCGCCACTACGACCTAGCCCCCGTTTTGGATTTGACGATGGTGATGACGCTGGTGGCGGCTACTTTACCCGGGACGAGGGGCCCTATGACGGAGGCCATGGGCCCCCTGGCCGAGGTGACGGGGTTGCGGGCCACAGTCCTGGCGAAGCTCTGGAGGGCCTCGTACTTTGAGCGCAGAGCGTCCAGCTCCACCCTCATGCTGGCGTTCTCCGTGGCCAGCTTGTCCACCTCCTGCTGCAGCAGAGACTTCTGCTTCTCCAGCTCCTCCTTCTGCGTGACGCGCTTCACCCGGCAGCTGGCGGCGTAGCCGCGGTTCTTCAGGGTGCGCCGCCGCTGCTTCAGCTGCAGGATCTCCTCCTTGGTCAGCCCCCGGAGGTGCTGGTTCAGCTCGCGCACCGACATGGTCACCAGCTCGTCGTCCGTCAGGCTGGTGCCATTTTCTCCCGGCTCCCGCTTCACCTGCGAATGGGTGTCGGTGAGTGTCAGCGGGCATTCGACCGTCGGCGACAACTTTGAGAAAACGGAGCGCGCGTGTCAATTACCTTCAAGGCCTTGTTTCCCTTGTTTGTGGTAGTCATGCCACGAGAGCCGCGTCCACCTGCGCTGCTGGTCGGTCTGTCGGGTGAGAAAATGATCAGCATTCACAGCAAAACCAACGGAGACATCATCTGTTGAATACACAACTATGTATTTTCCTGAAAAGGTATGCTACGCCGTGACAACGTCCTTCAAATACACAAAAGTGGGTCAAGGCTGACCTCCTTGCAGGTGGCGCCAGTTCCAGTCAGCGGGGGCTATGTGGACTATTAATGCACATGTCTCTGAACAAGTACGGTGGTGGTATTCCCCCTCCACCACACACTTCTCACTCTTATGCCGCACGGCCTTCAAAAGAGCCGAGTGTTGAGACACAAGGAGGATGACATTTTAGGTGGCTGGCAGCATTTCACAAAGACTCAGGGGGCCGGGGGGGGGGTCCCTTCTGCAGAGCAGTAACGGCAGAAAGGATGCAGCTTTTTCGACTGTGCATACACCCCCACGGCTCAAATGTATCCCAGAGGCACACGGGGCAGCCCTTCACCTGTGCTCCCAGCTATCCCGTCTAGACGGTCACAGCGGTCTAGGTTTGTCTGGTGTGCGGCTACAGTATTATCCCGTGAAATCGATGGGAAAAAAAAGGGATATGCTGTCCCTCCTGCAGAGCCTCAGACACCATCCAGAAGACCGAGGCTGCACTGCAGCTCTGTCACGTCAGTGCAGAGGGAACACCGGGAGGAGCCGTGCAGGCGGCCAGCACGCCCTCCACCCCGTGAGCCTTGACACGGGACGAGCACACGCACGCACACACACACACACACAGTTGTGGCCCTCGGTGCTTTACACTACGTACGGTAAATGCCGTGTCAGCGACACGGGCACCCACCGCGGCGAGCCGAGCCAGCACATTGCTTCTGTAAGCGGATTCACACAGCCTGGCGGTGTGTTTGCACCGAGCAGATAAACTAACGCGCGTGGGTTCTTACAACTCTTTGGTGTAGAAAAAAGGAACAAAAGAATAACTGCCTGCCTCCCCCCCAAAGAATAAGAATCAAATAAAGAAAGCACCGTGTGTTAAAAGCCTACACAGCCTACAAGGTGGTCATAATGTATGCGCGATGTGTGGAAGAAAGGGGAAAAATAAAAAATAAAAAGACGAGTCGCAGCTATGCTGGACTAAGATGGGCCGGATATTTCCATGGCAACAAAAGGGTGCTACAGGTGGACCGGTCACATGAGCCAAACAGGCAGAGACAGACGCTTGTTAAAAATGACCTGAATACGACACGATCACACAGGCTGGGGACATAACATGAGGTCAGATTGTGACTCGCATTCTCAATGCTTTCATTTCAAAGCGTCCTGTGGCTCCTCCTAGAATGGAGATATTTCCCGGTGCTGTAGATGCCCACATTAACAACAAAAACAAACGTACCAGAGGACTTTTTAAATACATTCATCTCCGTTGGGCCGGCTATGAATAGCTGACTGATAATAACACCTACCATTCACTGGCCTTTTGTGGTGACTCATTTCCAGTAAGCATTTGGACCACAGATGCAAAACATAATGGGATAATGGTCTGCCTGATGATGCAGATAATGGACAAATAGACAGGTAAGTACTCCACTATTAGCTGCTGGGATGACAGTCGGGGAGAAAGAAAGAAAGAAAGAAAAAGCTCCTTCTACCAAATTTCATATAAAACCCTGTCATTTCCCCCTCGGCGGCCTAGACACAACATTGTTCAAAAACCAGTGGGAATCTGTGGGGGCCGACGAGGCGCTCGATGTCACACAGCTGTGTGTGGGGCAAACACACTCGGCCCGGCTCGGCGAGGCTGAGAGCTCACCGTACGACACGCTGGGATGACGGAGAACGGGCCGCGGCCCTCGGGCGCGCTGCTGCTGCTGCCGCCAAACGAGACGACTGCCAACGACGGGGAACGGCAGCGCGACACACACACACACACACAAGGTCCAACGCACAGCTGCTCCCTTCCACCGCCGGGCACGTCACACCTCGAGCAGACAAAAGAGGCGCAAACACACACACACACACACACACACACAGCGATGAAAAAGGGACAAGAGAAAACGGGGACATCTCAGACTCGCTGCACTGATTGGATTGCGGCAGGATGCCCCGGCGTTTGACAAGTTCACGTTCTTGATGGTCGCAGGCGAGGACACTCGACGCTGATGTCTTCCTTGGACACCTCCACTTAATTATTTCATGTCGTGTGTGTGTGAAAGAGAGAGAGAGAGAGAGAAAGGAAGCTGCAGCTTGAGGGCAGAAGCGTAGGGCAGTAGAGGTAGGGGGCAAGTGCGGGGGCACCGGAGTCCTTTGTAGGTGCTTGCTGAATTTTTATGAATCATCTGGAAGAACGCTGACAAATCAGAGCTGATTGCTCGCGGAGGAGAGACATCACACCCCCCAGGAGATAGAAATCGCTGAGTGTGGTCACCCACAGAGAGAGAGAGAGAGGGGGAGGGAGGCGGACTTAGAAAGAGAGGGCGAGAAGATGGAAAAAGAGAGCGAGAGCGCAAACAGCCTTGTGAAAGATGCACGCTCGACACATTTAGAGGAGCTTGAGGAGAACAGGTTGGGGAGGAAAAAAAGAAAAGGACCGGATGTCAGCAAGGACCGAAACCAAGGTGCCAATTAGGAAGTTGTGAAGTTGAACTAACACGATGAGAAGCCAACCTTCAAAAGCTGTCCGTGTTCATCTAAATCTATAGGTGGGGTCGGCTTAGGTTAAGACTGGGAGGGCGAGGGGGGGGCGAGGGGATAAATGCTGATGCGACATGATGGGTTCGGCCTTGAGCCCGTGTCGTGCTTTAATGATCTCATCCCCGCCACAGTCTCTCTTCAGGGGGTGGGTGGGGTTGCCAAGGATGGACACCATTAGCTAGGGGACCCTTTGTTGGAGGGGAGCCGAGGCTCCGGCATCCACGCACTGCGCCCCCCCTCACGAATATGTATCATATATTTATTGTTCAGTCGCCTACGGGGGAGGGGGTAATAAAGATGGTCAGGGGGTGATTCTTCAAGGATACCAAAGCTCTTTCCTCGACGGCTGCCTTTAAAATGGCGGCAGGTTGGTGTGGGGTTGGATTCCTGAGGTGGCGTGCACAGTGGTTCAGAGGAGGGGGAGGGGTGCGGGGGGGCTCGCGGGGAGAGCTGGCTCCACTTGACAGCGGTGTAACAAGATTATCTGGGGCCATAAGAGCAAACAAAAAGCCCGGCGAGCGCCCCCCTCCCCCCCCCCCGGAGTCCAGATTACCACGCCGGGCACCCTCTGAATACTAAGCGTGGCCGGGGAGCCTTTTCTGGAGACACGGCAGCGGGTCGCGGCTCCCCAGACACAACCAATCCCACATGCACATTGGACGGGTCGTGCGCGGTATGTTCGCTAACGGAACTGGGCCTTGGCGGTGGCGCGTGCTGATGAGACACTTCCTTGGTCTCACACCGCTCGATGCATGATGTGGGCTCTTTTCGCTCACCTGGAACAGCCCAGGCTGGTTCAGGAGCCCCAACGTGCCCCCCCCCCTTCCCCTACTCTGTGAGGCCTTAGGGTTTGGCGCGGCGGCGGCCCTCACTCGATGCCTTTGCCGAACCTGCTCATCTTCAGACGATTACCACGGCAACCGAGGAGAGCTTGATGTGAGATCACTGCGATCGCCTATCGAGTTTCCCCGATCAATAATGGATGAGACGACGGGAAACAGAACGGCGATGACCGAGAAGCGCGCGGTGAGAGGAAGTGTGTTCAAATAAACATTTGAAAAACAGGACGCAGTGGCGTTTGTGTAGAAGTTGTGCCCATTTGTCGTCTTGTCCCATCGCTCTTCAGGGCAAATGTTTCCACCCCGTGGGCCACAAATTGCCCGATCACAGACACCACTTTTACTCCTCCTCCCATCCAATCCCGGAGTGGAAAAGATCGCCCTTAATATTCAGATCTAATCGCTCGTCCCCCTTCAGCCGAGTGAAGCCAATTATCAAGCGAGCGACATAAGTTGGGCGCCGTTTAACCGCAAATTAAAAAAAAAAAAACGGGCTTCTCTGAGGACTCTACCGGAAGGCCGGCGAGTTAGTGTGAGAGGAGAGAGGCACGACGGGAAGAGGAGAGGAACGCTATTAGCTACTAAGTATTCAGAGCGTGAAATAAGAGTGACAAAAAGAGGGAGAGGGGAAATCACTCAGAGTGGAATGCGACACGCTGGTAGCAGAGCGGGGAAATACTGAGCCGACACTTCGGACCACGGAAACAGCAGATAACCAAAATCTTCTGAATGCCATTGTGGAAGGGCCGACCCCCGGGGGATGAAGACGGTGTAACGGAGGTGGGGGTGTGGGGGGGTAAAGAGAATGAGGCATCCCTGTGGAGGGGGATAAAGAAAATGACTCGCTGTATTTAGGGATCAGACCTGCGGCTCAAGACGACTCGTCTGTTGGCTCTTCATATCCGGGCTGAAACGGTTGTTAGCACACACTTCTGATTTTGTTGTTATCTTCACGTTAAGTTCATTCAAAATGCCAAACATGCAGTTTTATTGAAACGTCATATGAAATCAATCAACAGGTCGGAAGGCAAAAAGGGATTTAGTGAGAAAAGGTGTCACTCTCACACACACTGTAAACAAATGCCCGCCGCATATTAAAACCAGAGAAAAGAAGTATTGGAGCTCGTTTCAGACTTGTTATTTGGAGATAAAAGCTTGGGTAGGCGTCCTCATCGTGGACATTTGTTCAATCATGTTTTAGAGAAAACAATTGTAAATAATGATAGCAATATTTTCTTTGCAGCAAAATAGTTGTTATTCAGTTAATGAACTATACAGTGACAGATCAAATCAGTTGTTTGCGCTGTTAGTAAATAGTTTTACAGTATTTATTATCTACAATGATTGGCAGTATAATGTATTGGTTGTCAGGATATTGGTAAACCCAAGATATTTTTTTTATATCATTGATTTTATATATTATATATTACGAAACAATAAAGCATGTTGTTTTAGGATGAAGACAAAAATTCTATATTATTATAAGATGAAAGCAGAAAGAGAATATGTGGGAATATTATGTAATGTACAAACCATTCCACAAAATAAAAATAAAAAAACACGTTAAATGGCAATTTTTTCTAGCGGAGGTTTACATGCATGACTGAAGACTGATTATATGTCACAAGGTGACAGAGCATCAGATGGACACCATGCAGGAGCTGCGTTGCTGTGTGGAATCAGCATCCCGTCCTTGTCCTTGCAAAGTGAAAACATGAATCACCGCCCCGTTCGATTTTCTGATACACGTGAAGCATATATATATATATATATATATATATATTTTTTAAAAGGGACTTGGATTAGACAAAATGTTCCGGTACATTCGGAGCCCGTCTCCATGCTCGGTAGCATACTCTGTAGTAGTTTACTCTGCCAGTACAAGCAGTATGACGGGAGAGGAGACTCCATTGGCTTTTTTTCCCCGGAGCATCTGCCCAGAGGACTCGATTCAACAGGAAAGAGAACAGCGCTTGATACTCCGGCCTGAGCGCTGGCAGAGGAAGTGAGGGCTGCAGGCTGTCCAAACACCAGCAACATATCCAGGAGCTTTACTACACTGCTTGCATACATATTACAGCGAACGCATATCGCATCGACCGATTAGCAACGCGGCAGGTGAGGCGTATCTGGAGCAGTTCAACGCGTTATGTTGATCAGAGTTAAATATACGGAGATGATACCGGCCTCAGACCGGCACCACAGCGCGGCTAGAGGTGGATTCCCTTCAATTAAACGCGACTCTGTGATAACGGCCATCAAAGAAACAAACAGAGCTCAGCAGCATTGCTCAATAAAACTAAAATGAAAGAAAATAAATTCATCATGTTTTTCATGTGGAGTGCTTTGATTCGTAGTCAGTACCTGGACTAAGTGACAGAGATGCTCATTCCTATTAATAACATTGAACGGCTTAGTTCACATCATGGAAAGCGAGGGATGACGTCTGCTGACAAGATATTTGATGGACCCTCAGATGATGGGTGTCCAAAATAAAATAAAATAATAATAATTCTAAATGAAATCAAATAAATTAGGATCTATTCCACAAACGCATTGTGAATCAATCTTGCGTTCGGTACCAGGAATTGAACATTGCGCCCCTCTTCTCAGCTCCTCGCGTATTTCAGTCTGAGCTTTGAAATTACTGCATCAAGCAAACATCCAATAAAAAAATAAAATAAAATAAAAAAAGAGGGCAAAGAGATGGTTGAAGGTAAGAGCAAGGTCACAGGTTTGACCCCAAAGGCACACACTGTGTTCACACACAAACGTTCTGCAACAGCAGCAACCCAGGTTCAGATAAATAAAGACATTTGTAAATGCTTTTTACATTTTGTGTAAGTAAATACAGTTTAAAATATAAAACGTATAAATGTAGACTACTGTCAATTAATCAGCCGGCGCCAGTAAGACGATACTGGCTGGACAAGTAATAAAAAATATAAATGCTGGATCCTGTTGCATGTACAGCATAATGTAATCAGGTACAAATATAGCCAGCAGTTATTCAGGAAACCAATTTACAAAACAACAAGAACCTTTAGAGACAGACCCTAATGGTTGTCTAATGATCTGCATGAGTTCCTTTCCTAATGTGGGTTACACACTGCTTATCTTAGAACAAGGTCTCGCTATCTTTAACCACCATAGGACAGTTTTTTACGTATCCTGCCAAGAACCAATCAGAACACAAGTCCCCCGAAAACGCACGAGGACTGACCGTGTATTCGCTGGTGTCATCTGGCCTCTTACACAAACCTGGGTACCACTGACAAGTTAATCAGCCGAGATAACAGTAGGTTAAAAACAGCAGCCAGCGCTCTCCATGTTCTGTCCGATATTGGGTGATCTAAAGTACACACACACAAAGTTTCAAACAGAAAATCATCAAACACACTCGCTCCTCCGTCTGGATGAAAGTATTACTTTGAGAAGTCGAGCGGGCATATCGCAATGCTAAGCAATCATAATCCGCACTACGCTTGCAAGAGGTTTCATCACCGACGTTTAAACTGTTTTCTAATGCAGAAAGAAGAAGGGGGGGGGAAAAGCTATATTGATCTTTTTCTATCTTCCTTCAAGGCATTCCCATTTCTCCGTGCAGCTTAAGCAGCACTTTCGTGGACAAATCACACATTTGTGTTCCTTTCCGGAGGCCATCGATTGTCCTGAATGGGCAGAACTTTTCCCCGTACGGCGCAGCTGTCCACCACACAGAGGTGTTGGTGGACAGACTGGATCCGGTGCAAGATCTTGCCTCATGTTGCATCAACCTCAAACATCCCGTCCACCCTCACAACCGCGTGCCCAGTGTGAGAACCGCCACTAGCTACGAGAGCTGAGTTCACCTCCATCGTATAACCATCCTGCCCCCCCTCCTTTATTTTGAACGTCGCCATCTCCCCCACCCCGCTTCGTGCCTCCGTCCACACACACACCGCCGCGCAGCCCCCTGTCGGGCTCTTACGTGGGCCCGCATCTGTTCTCGTATACCTGGGGGTCGGGGGGGATAGGCGGGCTCTTGATGTAGGGCCGGCCTCGTCGGCTAAACACACTCCAAAAGGGCACGAGCAGAGATGATGAAACAAAGTTGAATATGTGAGCAAGAATGGGCAACTTCTCCCCGTTTGGCCCCCCCGCCTAGATATATGCTCAACAGTTTCCAAGGTGACTTTTGAAATTGCACAGAGAGATTCTCCATGGATAATTCATTACCTGCCCTCCATACGCGGGCACTCTAATAGGCAGCAAATTTCATCATGTCTCTCACACACACACACACACACACACACACACACACACACACACACACACACACACACACAGGGAAACAATGCCAACCCCAAATCAAAGAAATAAAATGGTATACTGCATTCCATGATATCATACGCAAGTTGGCACGATATCGTATTCAGAGTACTATTCAGATAAAGAAGGCAAATACAGCACGTCACACACACCGTGAAAATTTATGTTTTCCTACAACAGCATTTTATTTCCATGCCAGGTGTTGTTTTCAACTTCCCATCATTACAAATGGCCCAATTTAAACAGCCACTCGGTGCAGGATTCCAGTACACCAACACGGGGCATAATATATTGCTTATCATGTATTTTTTAAAGGGCTTTGACATCGCACTTGACATATAAGCACTTAGTGTGGATGCACTCACACCCGGCTTGGTAGATGCACATAATGACAGCGCTGCACTAAAAGGAATCCATCCTCCGCTGAACGCAGACGAGGATGCAGATAAAAATAAATAATAAATAAATAAAAAAAGAGGCACGATGGTCATCACCTGATGCTCATGGCTTGATGACCGACTTGCACGACGGATCAGCACCATTTCCGTCCATCTCGTTAATGATGACGGCGGCTGGCTGATAAGCATCGACCCAGCCGAGCAGACCTTTGTCCGCCGGCACCGTAGATTACCGGGCGCACTTTTGAGGACGTCTGAATAGATCACTGATGATTCAGCACGATATAAAAAAATAAAAAAATAAAAAAACAACATGCCGCTGCGTGGTTGTTGGTATTGTTAATAAAACACAATGCTGTGTGGTTATTAAAAGGGACGGCGGGTTTTTGGCGTTGCCATTGTTACAATTTAACCAGCGGTTGAACAGATTGTCACTTCAGGTGAAACCAATTCACTGCGAAACAATGGCTTGAAAGCGTTTCCCTTACGCGTTAATAAAGCCACGCGCGTATTTAAAAGCGGCACAACAAGCTCAGATTTTAAAATCGCATCCACGTTTGATTTAAATGTCACTGAGTGGGGGGGTTTGAAAACCAACCTGATCTCGCTGAACCGCTGCCTCGGCGCGCCGTCGCTCCCCACAATGAGGTGATGAAGCAGCAGGTTTTGAACGGCGAGGAGCGCATGAGTTGACAAACCGCCGCGAGAGATTGGACACCTCGGCACAAAAAAACAACAACAACAACACTATTTTATCTCCGGAGCCGCCCAGCCGCACGGGTCTTTTTTTGGCATTCCACGACTCGATCCGCGATCCCTCAGCGCGTGGAAGTGGCGTAAAACTGCCCGCCTACAAACAAGCAGGCGAGGAAATCCCCGTGCTCAGCCTTCCTACTATAACCGTGGCGGTTCAGCATTACGAGCGGTCCCTGTGACGTGGTGGTTTGGTAAAGAAAGGGAGGGGGGGGTTAGGCGCTAGACGGCTGGCCGCTACGCTTCATCAAAGCCCCAAATCTGAATGACATGTTTTATTCGCTGCTCGTGAGCTTCATGTGTACAAGAGCTTTGCTGCCATCTCAGCATAGTGGGAGCCCGGGCGCTCGTCAGCCACCAACGGCTACGCGGACCATTTCTGGTAGTCGCTTTCAAAGTAAAAGCCCCCAATGCTCGCGAGGACGGCCGAGTGAACGGCTCGAGTGGCGCGGGTGCCTCTTAGTTTGAAAAGAAAGTCCGGTGTGACCGGTGCTAGCTTGTCGGGGATGTGTGCAAGACGCTAGGAACGCTAACCCACGAAGCTAACAGCCGCGGCGCCAGCTCGTCAGCGGCGAGTCGGAGGCATGCACACTCAGCATAACAACAGTAACTCTGTCGTGCTCACACACCCACCTGAGTGAAAAATGACGTTCTCCGAAGTTGTTGCCGTCGAGTTGCTCTTCTCGCGCCGTCGCGACGGAGAGCCAAACATCGGGAGCACAGTTTTTAAGGATCGGGTGCCAGTGACAGAAGCGACAGCGCTTCCGAATGCCAGCTCGTGCTCTCCTTGTTGATTCCTTTCTCTTGAACCGGAGCCAGACGTCATTGTGTTTGGTCACGTGATTTCATTCATGAAGGGTATTCTTTCCTCACAAGATGAAACCAATTTAAATAAATAAAAATATACCCCCTATTGTTAGATTGGAGCTACTGATTACCGGTTAGGTGACGGCACTACTGGCAATTAACGAATCCACACACAAATCATATATCACAAAATGTTGTTTTTAATATTTATTTATATAATGTTTCAAAGACATCCTTACTTTCATTGCGTTATGAAATATGCGTTTAAAAAAATGGAAATTGTTAAATGCAACTTGAACAGTAACACCACCTCCGGAAATTCGTGGCACACAGCGTGTTGCTTTGCTGCATGTCACTCCGTTGCATTGATTCAGATGGTACTTTGGAAACTACCATGATATCGAGCTGACCGAAGTAAGATACAGAAAGACAAATGAATCACAGAGATTGAAATTATTATTCTAGTCAAGCCTGACAAAGGAAAGTTATTGCCTTACAAAAATAAAATATCCATGGTCCCCCAGTTGGCTTTTTTTTTCTAGAAAGTAATCCACTATGTTAGACTCTCCTCTGACAGTAGGCATATATTGCATCATTGCTGCTAAAATGTTTGGGCAGTGCGATACAAAACAAAGAAGCTCACTTCTTTTTGGTCCTGGGGTTATTGCTGAACATACTGATCCCCTGAGATCTGACTCCAACAGGCCCTGCGGTCACTCCTGGCTGCTGCAACACTTGGTCCAGAGTCGTCTTCTTTATGGCAGCTGGCGAGATTCTTTCTTGGTCGGCCAAAAACTGAAGTTCCCTTTTTAGGGAAGGAGAAGAACACGAGAGAGACATTCATAACAGAGCATGAAACATACATATTTATTAGTGAATAGTATAGTAGCATGATAATAATCTGATCACTTGAAAACCAGTAACCTAAGAAGGACAAAGCCCTCATTGTAACAATATTTGCATTTAGCTCCATCTACTGTCAGAATTCTAAACTTCAAAAGAAATACAACACTCTCGGCCATTTGAATATGACAATTAACTTGAAAGCATTTCTCGTGTATCCCTATGACAGGAGATATGATTTGTTGGTTTGTTTTTCTCACACCTTTCTCATCAACTTACCTAGTCCTAACACACGAGGCCTCTACAGCATCGATGAGGAGGCTGCGGAAGCCGCCACTCTCCATGACGTGCAGGGCGTGGATGGTGGCGCCCCCTGGTGAACACACGTTGTCCTTGAGCTGCCCAGGGTGTTGCTCTGAGTCTAACAACATCTTAGCAGCCCCCTTTTAACGAAAGACGATCCACATTAGACTAGCAAAGTACTCAGACTGTGTCCCGAAAACATCCATGACAGATTGCAGCAAACAAAAATGTAATGCATAGATTTGCCCATGACACACGGAGAAAGCCCATACATGCAACACATTCATTTTTTAATAAATAAATGAGGGTAATACCAGCAGAGCCTGGGCTCCGAGGCGTACAGCCAGTCTCCTGGGGAGGCCCATTTTCACTCCACCATCAGCAAGAGCATCGACAGCAGTAAACGCCTGAAAGGCCACATGGTTGTAAGGTGTAAGGAAAAATGATGAAACACAAATTATTAAAAACATTATTTGAACAACTTACGTAAGCAGGACCACTGCCACTGAGGCCGGTAACGGCATCAATCAGGTCCTCCTCCACCTCAGTGCAGAATCCCACACTGGACATCAGCTGCTCCAGGAGCTTTCCATCCTCCACTTTTGCATGGGTGCCTGTGGCATACACAGTGGCCCCCTCACACACCACCACTGGGGTGTTCGTCATGCAGCGCATCACCTTTGGATCAGCCCGATGCTGCTGCAGCTTCTGTAGGGGAACGTAGCAATGTGCCGAATGAATGGTCCTGGAATCAGTGGGAAATGTCGGACTGGGAGGGTCGTTATTTGCTCAAAGTTTATACGCTAGTTCAGTGGTCCCCAACCTGTTTTACCTCACGGACCGTTTTCATGTCAGACAATATTTCGCGGACCGGTCGAGAAGGTCCGGCGGAATAACAGGGGGTTAGTAGTCGTTGATCTAGCTATTTCAGTCGGTATCACCCTGATATCGGTGTCAATGCAGCTCTACAGAATTTTACCAAGCACCAGGCATCATAATAAAATAACATCTAGCTTACATGCACTAACGCTTATCTGTCCAAAACACTATACTGGTCAGGTATTGAACAAACTATATTTCATTGTCATCAATATTGTTCTGTTATTAACAATCTGTGGTCCGTTAGTAACATTGGAAGAGAGAGGGCCATGACTTTCCTTCTCGATAGAGCTGATGGTGACACCTGCAGCACAGGACACAATAAGGTGACGCTCTTCGATGTCTGGTCCAATCTCATCCAGTACGAAAGGGATGATGTGGGGCTTCACGGCCAGGAAGAGGACATCACTTTTGCTGACTGTCTCCTTGTTGCTGGTGGTGAAATTGACGCCCAATTTCTGTAGACATGACATATTTTAGCGACAGTTTCTCAGAAAGGAGGTACACATAGGGTGCATGCAAGAAAGGGAATGTTTGGAAAGCCCCAATTATATTCAGAATCAAACATATATATTATAATGAGAACAGTATTGTCCACCTACCCGCAGTCCCTGGACTGTAGGGAGCTCTGTGTCCGGGGAACTGGCTGTGATTCTGTGAGTGGCAATCACGCCTTGAAAACGGGGCAAAGTGTCCAGAAATCATTTCGGGGTCTGATTGCAATCAACCCACGTCGACGACACGCACAAGGTATGTTTCCAAACTCACCTGCAGCTGTGAAGCCTCTCACCAGAGCATGGGCCAGCTGGCCTGCTCCTATGAAGCCCACGCTCATCCTACCTGTGTATGTGTACACGGAGGAATCCATTTCATTTCAACACAGATCAATCATTCAGCCCAACATCGTGTGCTATAATCCCGGTCACACGATGTTGTGCTATATAGTTGCTGGTAACTTGTTTACACTTCCTCATCAAACGACATTCCTCCACACGCAGTGACAGCGGCCATATTGTTGTACAGTAAATACATTCGCAGAAGAAAGACTTACAAATAATCACAGGAGGCCACGGGTGGCGGATACGGGTACAGCTTCAAGGAAACACCTGAAAAAACGATACCGTCGAGAGGCTTCGGGGGTCGCGCTCACCTGACGTACACGTTGCGACTCATTTAGCTGACAAGCACGCAAGCCAATGAGCGTGAACGTTTGGGTGACACGTACATTTTTCGACCAATCACAGAGGCGTTGACGATGACTTCGGGCGGGTTCTAAGACGCCGGCTGCGTCAGACTGTGGTGAGGAGGAGGAAGACAGGAAGTTTTACTAGATGAGACGTGGTAGAAATGTTTTTTGGAAAGTGGACAGGCGGGTTAACCGGATCCAGAGACTGTAGGCATGTTATCAATAAGGTATTCCTGTATCTCCTCCATTGAGCAACACCATTTGATGTCGTTTATTTTGTGCATTCATGTCAATTCATTCAAAAACACTCGAAGAAGCACAGGATTTACTTCAAAGGAGTATCGGCCAATACCAGCTACCGATCTATTAGCAGTGTATAATTAATAATTTGTATGCCTCAATTTGTAGCCTTGACCTAAATAATGTTTTACTGCCTTTGTAAAGAATAAAAAATTGCTCTAAATTGAACCAAATAGTTATTTGCTGTTAGAATAATATGTTGTTTGTGTGTTTTATTGTACAGATATTTATTGTTATGTACCATTCACCTAGCCAAATGCCAATGTGTAACAAGCTGTGCAATAAACAGTTTTTGATTGTTGGTCAAAGCTTATACAGGATTTAAAATTCCAGTATATAACATAGTTTCTAAACAAAATGTAGTTGAATATATCAGCCCTATTTTTACTACTACATGATCTAGCCATTTCAGTCGGTATCGCCCTGATATCAGTGTCAATGCATCCCTACTAGGGTCTACTGTCAACATTAACTCATTAATCTATGCGAATAAAGTGCCTATAATAATGCCTAGATTAATGTGCCAACATATTTTAACATTGTTAATGTTCGTTTGTTTACTTCCGGTTTACTTTCGAGACCGGAAATAAACCGAAAGTTGGCCGTGGAAACGAAACAGCCGTTAGCTCCAGTCAGTTACATCAAGTAAAACAAACAGGGGTGCGACATACAGCAGAGAACTGTGCGGAGGAATCACTCCACGTGTCAAACAGACGTGGTGAGTGAGAAACGGACCACTTAAAGCACTGCTATGTTAAGATAGCTGCTAGGCTAAGATAGCTGCTTGGTTACTTCCATATCAATCACCATCTAACGTTACCCTGCACACAGTCTGCAGAGGGCCACCACTGTGTCCCTTAATGACCGTGGTTTGAAAACGTCCTGGCTAAATGTGGGGACATTATTGTCACTTCAAACAAAGCCGTTAAATGATGGAGAGTTGAGAGCAAAGTGCACGAGGACGAGAAGAGTCGCTAGTTCAACATGTTCCACGAGGTGGAATTCTGTCTACAAAATGATGAACTGTGTGTAGTTTTGTCTTTAAAATAACATTAACAATTAAACAACCGTGTCTAAAAGGGGGGGCATGTAAAGAGTTGTTGAGGATGACTAGTCAGGTTCTATAACATGTTTTGACTCACTGGCAGAAAGAAGAAGGTGGGTAGAATGCCAAGCAATACAATACTTAATTAAACTTGATTAAAACAAAACCAAAAAGCGAAACTGGAGGTATGTTACTAGCATGGTTAGGTGAGGACTCAATGCCGAGATTGACAGTGGAGACCAGATTGAATTTGAAACAAAGGTGGTTCTTTACTGATGAACAAAAAGAAACGCAAAAAAAAAAAGCAACTGCTATGTGGTTGGATTGCATTAATGAGAAATTGAACAGGTGTTCCTAATAATCCTTTAGGTGAGTGTATATGAGTGGGGTGATGAGGCAATTTGAGGCAGCTGGGTGAACGGGGCAGGCGAGTAGCCAGATCAGGGGAAAGACACACACACACACACACACACACGTTACAGTCACCGGTAAGGTATACATGTTTTATCTTCGTTGCCTCCATTGAGCGGCACCATTTCATATTGGTTATTTTGTGCATTTATGTCAATCAAAAACACTTGAAGAAGGAGAGGATTTACTTCCAAGCAGGAGGTGAAAAATTCATTTTGAAGAGGTAAAAGTCCTGCGGCATTTAGATTAACGTCCTTCACCTGGGTCATCATGAAGGAAATGCACTTTTAAATAGATAGCAGGTGTCAAGAAATACACATTTTAAATGATAAATAATTCTGCTTTAATTTGTTCTATTGTTGGTGGCATGCAACCAATGCGAAAGCTTCTCAGGCAACTGTTTTCTAACACTGTAGAGTACATTTCATTTAACATTTTTATTTGTTTTATTACATAACATGACATTTAGCTGACGCCTTTTATCCAAAGGAACTTACATTGCATTTATATGTGAGGGGTGGGACCTTGGAACCTGGGAGCCTCAGCAGGGCGGGAGGCTTAAACTCAAGGAGAGCCTCTCCATATAAAGGAGATCCCGTGAGAGTTGAGCAACTCACGTTTGTTCTCATTGTCCGGCATGTGCTGAAGTCTGGGTTGCTCTGTTTGTTGCTCGCCAGTACGAGTACAGTATTGTGCAATTTTAATCTATATCCTGTATGCCATGGGGAAATTAATATGTTTTGTTTCCTGTGGTAGAATGTCAGACCTGACCCAGACCTGGTGAGCCCAGAGTCCTACCTGCTGGTGCACAGGTGCCTTGGGCCTAGGAGGTAGGAAGTTGGGCTTGCCAGCACATTATGCATTGTGTAATGAGGATGATAGGTACTGTGATTAATGGCTGTTTTGTACATTGCAGGCTGAACTGCTGAGTGGTCAGCAGGGCAGCCACTGCTCTTTTTCTCCGACTATAGTTTTGTTAGTATTCTGCTCTAGTGCCTCCATCTTGCCCTCTATTTATAAAGATAACAAACTGATATTGTGCCCTTTGATGACCTTTGCTTCCACCTTCCCCACTTCTATTGTGTTGTGTATATTTACCAGGATCATTAGTATTTGTGTGTGCCCAACATGATTCGCAGTGGTGGTTATTTTAGCCTTTTTTCTTTTAACAGTGTGCTGTGTTTTTATTGTTGGAAGTGTCATTGTTGCCCCCGGTCAATCACTATTGGTATAATTTATTTTGATGTGTTTCTATAAAGGAATTGTTTAAATAAAAGTGATATTGCACTGTACACGCAGAAGCCTCAGTCTGTCTATGATCTACCTTGTATGGGGTTTTTGGCCAGTAAAATAATTGAATTCAGGGTCTCTCCCCTCAAAGAGGGGCGTTGTCACGTCTGGATATTATTCCAAAGTATTTTAAGTGTCCATTTGGTCACATATATCCCATGGTTTTATATTTGTAACCCATCCCCCACAGTGGGAGTAGTGTGGTAAGGGCAACTGCATAGCAGGTAGGGGTTGGGTGTCTTGCTCTGGGACAATTCAACCACCAACCTTGCTGTTCCCAGCACACCCTCTACTCTATGCGCCACGTTCATTTGATTTAACCAGGCTATGAATCATGTACTTTAATCAAAATAACTACCAATTTAATTTTTCATTTGAAGCTTTGCCAATACACAGATGAGACTCATGTCTGTGTAATAGAGGAGTCTTCTGTCCTCTGAAAGTTGAGTTACAGTTCAATTTAGGCGGTCTATTACAGCATGCAAAGTACAGAAATAAAAAAAGACCAGTACTATTTAACAAGGATTTTTTTTTTTTTTATAAAACATGGAACCCATCAGAAATATAGCAGACCGGCTGGATGACCGAAAAAGACGAATGAAGTTCAACCTTTGGCAAAACATGTTATGACGACATGTAGATAAAAAATATCTAAAACCAAAAGCAACGTTTAGTTCATGCTGTAGACTTAATATATACTATTCACCACATATATACCATGATATATATTCATTCTTTTTTACTATTTACATATGTTTTAATGGATAGATTAATACATTGTCCAGCCTCTGTACCCCGACTGACATAAGTTCTGATATTACAACCATGACCCTCCCACTCCCAAAGGTCCGTCCTGTATGCCACCACCAAAGGAATCTGGAGGGGATTCGGTGCTGAGATGGACGTACTTCCCAGGATCCTCTGTGGACAAGGATGCTGAGATCAGCTCGTCGGTGCACCTGGCAGGCTCTCCCTGGTAGGTCACCGTAGAGCCGGGAAAGGGCCTTTCAAGCTCATGAAACGGGGTAATACTGAGTTTTTCTGCATAGAAAAGGCAACATTCTATGAAAACACTGATAATGTAGGAAATGCCAAACATGGTTAGACGACTTCATGAAGTTATGAATCCACGGGAATCGTTCCTTCACCGAGAGCGGGATGTGGACAGAGAGTTTCTGTGTTTGTCTTTGAATCCAAACCGTCTTGAAGGGACAAAGGGTTCAGACTGCAGAGCTGGACACAAAGCGAATCCTCTGGGAGTAAATCAGGTCTACAAAATATAGGATCATGTTGACGTTGGTGAACACCGCCACCACTAGCTTACTGTCCCAGGGACATTGCCCTCGAGGGCAGTCCTCGGGACGAGCAGTGGTGCCGTACTTTTTGTCAAAGCTGAAGATGGGCCAGATGAGTGCCGTGCTGAGGTAGAGGATCACGGCGAAGAAGGTGTAAATGACCACGAACCGGTCAAAGGGGAACGGCAGGGCGGCGGTCCGACCTGAAACGGTCAGTACGACCACTACGACGGTGAGGGAGAAGCACAGGCTGTACACCACCACGCAGTACTGGGTGGCAATGTGGAGGGTGTACTCGCTGTCATTGGCCAGGGCTCCGAAAATAATGCAGGCCACAAAACCCTGGACCACCTTGAGCAGCCCGGACACAGTCGCCATGTAACCCACCACCGCGCCGGGCTTGGCTCGAGTCAGGAACACCTCGGCGCCGTAGGGGAAGCAGCAGACGCTGGAGCAGACGGTGACGGCGATGCGGTAGATTTGGACGTCAAAGTCCTCATCGGGGCACTCTGTTTGGAGGAAGTACACGGGGTACACCACAGAGGCAGTGATGTACATGAGGGTTGCCAGCATGGCAAACGCCACTGTGAAGTTATCCCAGGAAATGGGCATGCAGGCGTGGAGGCGCGTGATGTCCAAGGCGAACACCACGAGTGTGACCGCAAAGGAGAAGCACCACACAAACATGCAGAAGGTTCCGTAGGTGGCGCTGTAGCCCGCGCCGTGGGACACAAGGGACATTATGGTGCAACCGAGCAGGAGCTGGCACATTCGGGTTGCACCTAAAGGTGACAGCACTGCTTCCTTGTTGAGGTAGTGTCCTCCATTAGAATCCATGGCTTGTGTTGTCTCTCGCAGAGGCAGCTGCTTTCTTTTCTCGGGGAGACTCTCGGCGTCCTGTTCTCAGTGTTGGTGTCCTTGTGCTCTTTTTTTCTTTTTTTTCTTTTTTTCGCCACTGACCTCACCCTTTTCCTTGAGTGCCTTTTTATAGATGGTCCTTAATTACAAATGTCTGTAACCCTTCACTCTGTGCTCTGTACTCTGTGCTTTGTAATTACAGAGGTGTGCTGAATATCAAGTCACATGTATACACTGTTGTGTAGAAGTTAGAACGGTAGAAGGATATTTGATACATTTGAATGCAAAAGTATATACGATGAACAGAGTACAATTTCTTTAAATCATATAAGACTGGTATAAGTCAGTTTTGTACTGTTTTAAAAGTATTTTAAAGATAGTTGGTCCTGGTCTTACTCAAAGCGGCAGCGTATGTCCTCATAGAGCTTGGTTCCCCTTGCTTGTTCTCTTCAATTGTTGTCCAGTGGATCAAAAGTTCAAAGTAGGGTCCTCTAAAATGCATATCCAGTGATCCATCCTCCAACAATAGCCCCCCAGTGCCGAACAGGTGGACTGGTTTGTCGTCCTGTCAGTCAGTTCCTTACGCAGGCATTCAGTCCTTCTAATATCTCCACCGTAGGCCCTTAACTGCTTAGCAAAATCCCTCAAACCGTTGGCTCAGTCTCTTGCTCGTTGTCTCGCTCCCTTAGTCTCCTTATTCCTCTTGGATGGCCTCTCACACTTTACTCGCTCTCAAAAAACGCAAACCCTCTCCCTCCCGTGTGTGTGTGTGTGTCAGTGTGCACTTACTGGACTGCAAGGGGAGGTTGTTTAAATGAAAGTGTGTGCCGAACCCAAAGGGTACAGGCCTCGCCGGCTCTATAAATAGGGGGTCTATATTCCACATAGGGGGGGAGGCTACATGTGGTGGGCAGTGTGGGAGTCGTATTTCTAGGGAGCACCCAGAGAGGCTGAGTCAGAGCACCCTCAGTAAGAAACTGGCATTTATGCCGATGTAATGACAGGGAGGGAGGCTTAGACTCCCACCAGTGGCAGAAATTACATCCAGGTTCAGAGAGATTCTATTATTGCAGATGTGAGTGATGCATTTAAAGGGGACACGGAAATAAATGAGTAGTTACTTTAAACACTTTAACCTGTGGTATTACACTGTGTTTTTTGAGTTGTGGGATTTAAGGTGAACATATTCATGTATTTATATATATATATATATATATATATATATATATATATTTACAGCACGTGAACTCCCATATTGTGGTGGCGGGGTGTGGATGGCTCCGCTGCAGAGCGGAGTTGTTCAGGGAACAGTGCCGGTAAGTAGTTAACAAGTTAGCAACCAGCCGGTGCTCGGAGAGAAAAATAAAATAAAAAATAGATAAATAAAGTATATTGCCGAGAAGAACTCATCGTGTCCGTGTGTCCTTCGACGAACCCCGTAGAGATAGCTCCATCGCGGCTACACGTATATTTCACCAAAATTCTTCCTCCTTTTCTGCATCCTGTTGTATCGGACTGGCGGGGAGGAGAGAAGGTGGGCAGAAAGTCAAGTTAATTAATTATCTAGCAGGAGGAGACATGTATTTTGGAAAGTAGATGGACCAGCTAAACCGAAACCAGAGAGCCAAACTGTAGGCGTGTTACCAGTAATCAAAAACACTTTACTTCCAAGGAGGAGGCGATCAATAAAGACCTGCTACCGCAGTCGACAGGGGTCGGAGGTCGCACTCACCTGACGTACTTTTTGCTATACTTTTAGCTAACTAGCAAGCAAGACAATGAGCGTGAATGTTTCGGTGACACAAAAACTGTTGCTGACGTTGTTGACGATGACTTTGGGGGCGGGTTCTATAACGTTCTATGACTGTTCTGTCAGACTGTGGCGGAGAACCGAAAAGGCGGGAAGAATCCCAGCAATTTAATGAATTATCGAATTACTGAATAGCATATTTTATTTTATTACGCGTGCACTGTTGTCTTGTCGTCTATTGTCGTACTGTCTACTGTTTCGCACCAACCGCCAAGTCAAATTCCTTGTATGTCTGACATATTATGGCAATAAATGTTTCCTGATTCCTGAAATGAGACTTGATAGACATGTTTTTTTGGTGGACAGACCAGTTACCCGAAACCAGAGAGCCAAACTGTAGGCGTGTCACCAGTAAAGTGTACATGTTTTATCTTTAGTGCCTCCATTGAGCAACGGCATTTGCATTTATGTCTTTCAAAAACACTTGAAGAAGGAGAGGATTTACTTCCAAGGAGTTGGCGAACAAGATTAGATTACATTAGATCAACGTCCTTCCCCCGGGTCATCATAAAGACTTTTAAAGGTGTCAAGGAATAAAACTTACAATGATGAATCATCCCGTTGAGAAGCTTGGAAACATACCTTGTGTGTTTGTATTATTCTGATTTGTGTCATTGATATGCGTTTATTGCAATCAGACACAGAAATGATTTCTGGACGTTTGGTCCCTTTTCAAGGCGTGATTGCCACCCACAGAATCATCGCCAGTCCCCCGGACACAGATATCAGTACAGGGACTGCGGGTAGGTAACTAATTTCATATTCTCTTAACCTCGGCTCCCTCTAAAGTTTTTTTTGTGGGGTTTTTAAAATGGGAATAATAGTAATGCACGAATAATTAATGATGATATGAATAATGTAAATAATAACAAGACTGCACAGCAATATTTACCTTGTAGTATATATGTAATGTCTTTTCTTTTTAGTCTGATACAAAGACATGCAATCAACACAAAGAGAAAAAAAAACAATGTATTTACAATTTACAAAGAATCACTTCTCTGTGAAAATGGCACTTATAAATATGATTTACATAACAAAATAAATATGTAAATTACCAATGTAGCTTGAGATTTTTTTTCTGTTAGAAAATATGTTACAGAATAAAATTACAAGTAGTAATACATTTCCTTCTCTGGTGTGATGCGAAATAAAGGTCCTTTAAAAACAATTATAAAGACATCATTACATACAACATTGTCATTATATTAGAAAGTGATCTCTATTATGAAATATAAGAAGGGAGTTACATTAGTGAACACTTGAATGAACCTATACAAATACTCAAAAGAAATATACAATACACATCATTTGTCTCCCTTTAAATGTTCATTGCATTGATCTGAGGATCGCTGAGCTACTGACCTAACATGAGTGTCTGGGGTTTGAACAGCCTTCTTGAGATGAAGTGGCCTGTGAGAAAGAGGTAAAGACTAGACGTAATGGCCCTGTGGTGAATGTATAGCTACTAATTAACCTGCAGCTTGAGCAGCCATCTGAACCGGCCATTTCAAACTAAATATTTCCCTCAGATTGCAATGCTAACACGTGTGAGTTACCGTAATAATTTATCTTTACCCACAAAAATTGCCACAGTAATATATATTTTTTGAGCATTGTCTGTCTTTATATGCTTTTTCTGGCTACTTACAATATTTGATATTTGTCTGTCTTTAATTTGAGAAGCCTAAAATGTTCTGCTAATTTCTTGGGTTTATTGTTTTTTTTCTTTTAAATGTCATTATTACTTAAAGTTGCTGTCCTCGTTACTCTCTGGCCAATAAAAAAACATCCATGGGTGTTAGTGTCTTGCTATTGTTCTTGCCATTATTTTTTAAGTAAATACAAAATTTCATTAATGATCCAGTGCTTTTCTCATCTTATTGTATTTGTTATCTCTTACTGCTTCGTTAAAGATTTTCATGAGATGAGAAACTATAAAACCGTTATTTTTTTAAATTAGACCTTCTATAATCTATAGTGATTACTTAAGAAAGAGCATCCTTTCCTTTTTTAAAAACAATGACTAAATATAATCTATGGAAGGATGAAAAGAACATTTAAATGAATTAAACAACAGTGAGCATCCTTAAAACTGGATTATATTTGTGGTATTTTTTTTCTTTTACAAAGCAAAAGATAATTTAAATGGAGTAGCAGAGAGTTGTGCCGTGTCATGGTGACGTGTTAGGATAAATAGAAAAGCCCCTGTGTTTGACCAAGGGCCCAGACTAGTGTACAGAAGAGCTCATAGGGGAGATGACTATAGGTAGAACGGGTTGTGAAGGTGGAGGTATCAGCATCTTGGAGATGCTGGGTGTGTGTGTGTGTGTGTGTGTGTGTGTGTGTATGCCTGTGTGTGGGTCAGGGGGGAAAGCTGTCTCCTTTAGCTGCCGCTGCTGAAGCATGCCCAGTAGCTTGCTGGGGTCCATGCCCTGCTGCTGGGCCATCTTCTGCACATCGAAGCCCATGGTGCATGAAGGAACTGGATTGACGTTCATCTCTTGTCCTTTGAACTGGTCTCTGATGGTGGGGCAGGTGGGGTTGCAGTGGGGCCACGGGCAGCTGTCAATCAGGTGTACGGGGCAACCCTTGGGTGGAGCCTTGTTGTTCCTGTTGTCGTTGAGGCTGCGGTCCCAGCAGTGCAAGGCTCGGGGCAAGGAGGTGCCTTTGACCTGCACGTCAATCCAGTAACTAGAACGCAACACAAGAGGGCGCTGTCAGCTCAGCCACAAAGTTTAGTGTCCCCTGCTAATGGAACACCGGGAAGACGGAGATCTGGAAATTCAAATGTACTCACTTTCTGGTGATAACTTCGTGTGATAGACATGCCGGAGCAAACATGGCCCTGCAAATGGATAAAACGACAATGCGTAAACCAAAGGGAATCCTCGCAAACATCCAGTTTAAATTCTCCTCCTGAAAGAGCCATGGGACTTACGGGACATCCTTTAGTGTGTTTCTCAGCTCAATGCCCAGGTTTTGGATGTAGCGCCACTGGCTTTCCTGCACAGGCTGGCCGGTCAGCTGGATGTTGTCCACTGTCAACTGAGCCTCGTCAAACAGCCACTGGACAACAAACACAGGGCCTGCGCAGGGAGAATGCACACAGATTCATGTAAGATTATTGTGCATCTATACATATAGTACAGTAATATGTACTCCGTGCCAAGTATTATTCAGGTATGTTGGGCTTGCATGGACGATAGGTGCATGTTTCATGTTAGAGAATGAGACCCCAAGCTCACTTTTTATTGATGGGAAGACTCTATATCCAAAGAAACAGTTCCACTCCTCTCCTTCATGGGTTTGTCTGCACCTCTCTGGCACCACTCCTCCCCAGTACCTGACGGGACAGGTGAGAAGATACACGGTGTTGAGGTTAGTAACCTGATGATCTCATCACCATACTGAAATAAGTCCACCTCATAAAATCCTTTTATGATAACGTTTGCTGGATCGCGTACTTGATGCCTCTCTTGATGGTCTCGGTTGGGGGGCAGCTGACAGCGTCCACACAGTCCGTGCAGTGGTACTGCTTGTTATCCAGGAACCAGCCGGAATCAGACAGGCCTCGCACTTGTATCCCGGTGTGTCCCAGCCCATCCAGCAGCTCCGCCACATGGTCCACGTTGAGAAGCACCCCAGTGCCACCCGCACTGCTCGCATTAATAACAACATATTCTTAACAAACACTTCAGGAAACTAACTAAATGTCAAGGATTTTGAATTTGAAATTCCATGCAAAATGTCCACACAAGAACATACCTGCTTCCTGCGAGTAGAAGAACTTTTGCGTTGTTCAGACCTTTGTTCAGCAGGTCCTTCACAACCTCCTGAATGATCAGTGAGCCCATGAATGCATATCCACCTACGCACAACACAGAGAGTGCAACTGTAACATAGCTTCTTTGTGTTTTAAGAAGAGTTCCACGTTAGGGTTGTTTTGGTGATTCAATGATGTCTCACTCTGCTCTGTTTTGGCTGTTGCGCCGCTCCAAACGTCGCTGGAGCAGTACGGGATGAACCTGCACCACAAAAATACAGTTAATGTTCCCAGCTCAGATAAAAACTTGAGCTTCAAAAAACACGGAAACATTAGTCAACTTACACCATGTTGGCGTTCCACCAGTGAGGGTTTTCCTCGGGCAGCGGAGACAGGATCCCTGTGCCTGCATAGACAGAGCAGCATGTATCATTAGTCATCGTGGCACTCCCAGACACATCCTCTTCCTCCTCATCATCATTGGATTACAGTTATTACTATGCGATGAAAGAGGGAAGCGTCTCGGTTCCTACAGCAGCGGGCGCCAGGTAGCTCTGCACCGCAGCTACATTATGACAGGGCGACGGATGCATCCGCGCTTTTAAGTACTCAGACATTAGGATTTTTTTTTTAGCATGTTTTGGAGTCAGGATTCGCTTCGGGTGACAGTGAAGGACATACAATGGCTGAAGCTGACCTGTTTTAGTTTGGGGCCACGTGGACGAGCTCATCAGTCTCCTCATGGTCTCGTATCGGCTGTCACAGTTCTCCTTGTTGAAGCAGTACCAGGCCGCCTGCCAGATAGATACCAAAAAAAGAAGACATGTCTAGAATTGTACATCCTTCCCAGTTCGATCATCATAAAGAAAAACACAATGACATGATGTTATTTTATTTGAATACTAACCCTCTAAGAATATCAGCCAGCGTCTGCTGCCCCGAGATTCTTTCAGGTAGTACCTACGAGAGACCAAAGCATATCAAATCAACACAGCATAGCAGACGAGTCAATGATGCTTGAATATATGTAAATGTGAAACTAGTAGGCTGAATAACAATATGTATGATCAATGAATAGGAACCTCATTCCACAAACACTTACTAACACAGAAACATGAGATAAACACTGAAAACAAATATCCACCATTAATGACAGTATCCAAGTAAGAAATATAAACATGTGGACACTATGACTTTAAGACAAACACAGATGTCTTGTTGGGCTGTTGATTGCTGGTGACCGACAACAGCAAATTTCGCTGCTTCGGCCCACAGTGATGTTAAAGAAAGAAACTGAATGCATGTGTGTAGATGTCAACACCCGGTCTGTCTTTATATTTAGGATTTATATATCTCCAAGTTATTGCTTACCTACTGCACCCTGGGTAGGAAAAGTGAATGTTTTTGTGCTATCCTACATGGAATAAAAGGTGTGTGCTGTATGCTTTCAGTCCAGAAGAGGGCACGCACATTCTGCAGGACGTTCAGATGCTCCGTCCTCCTTTTTTGGGATTGCCAAAGAAACGTCAGTGACTTTAAAGAAAAACCGACTTGGCTGATGTTCTGAGCTGTTTGGTCAGACTCTGAATCAGCCCTTGGCTGCAGTTAATGTCTTGTATTATTGCAATGCACAGTCGAGGATGTAGGCTGAAGACAGTGCGCTCTACTCATTACTTCCAAACAACAAAGTGGATTCGGGCTTGGCGAGCTTGAACGAGCCGAGAGGGGAAAGGAACTGCATCAACACACTCTAACAAGTGTATCACACACCTTCATGTACCGTGCATGATTTTACTTGTTGCGTCCCTTGTCGATTTGTTAGTGTAACAATACCTGCGTGGAAACAACAGACCCTCTGATGGACAAGAATCCCCACTGACTACTGCCACGGCCATCTGCCAGTAACTGTCTTTCCCGCCCCAACAGACAGCTCACCATGCACTTTGGGGTTTTACCAGAATAAGACTGGATAGTAAATCCACACAGAGACGTATAACATAGTCATTTAAGTGCAGTCTGCCCATCACTGAACTGGTCCCAGATAAGTTTGAATGCATGGATACATTATCAAAGCTTCCTGATGTGAAACATGCATCATTGACAGTAAAGCATTTATGTAATACTCCGTTATTAGGCCTATCCGGGCATAACATTTAAGTACTGTTCTTTCATTGTGGTATGGGTACAGTTTGACAGTTTGAGACATAAGTCATATCCACCTCCTTTGGACTAAGCAGCTATCATCTAAAAATAACACGTTTTACATATAACTTCTACTTGACACACCAAGCCTTACTTATCAGAATTTGTACAGGAATTTATTTAACTTAGCAGTATTCAGCAAATGGAAATATTACAAGAGACATTGGATCTTTCCGATATTAATGTACTTTTAGTGCTTACTGCTTTAAATCATCGAGGCGTCTGATTTACAACAATGTCAACAGTGGATATCACAATGTAGTGATCTGTTTACTTCTACTCCTCCGTTCACCTCATAGACCCATCAGGGCAAATAGTACACATTTCATACTCGTTAGTAGCAGCAAAATAGCATGAGGATCAAACAGCAGGGTGCAATCATCAGAGAGAGATGGGTTAAACGTTCTGCAGAGCAAATCCTGCATTCTAATTTGAGGCACAGGAAATTAAGCAAAGGGCCATGTGGTTATCCGGCAAATTTCACGCTTCGCTGATGCAAAGCATCTGTTGATGTCATCCCGTTATTCTATCCTGGGGCAAAGCTCCCTTTTTACCCTCCCCCCCCCCCCCCCTCCTCCCCCGCCGTTCCCCACCACCACCATTTATTGAGTGTGTTTATCATAAATAGAGGGAAACCACTTTCAAAGAAAACAGCTCGAATAAGAGGAAACCACACTGAGACGACCATTGTTGTTCTCGCAGGACGACCAGCGGGCGCGCGATGCGCCCTGCTGACGCTCAATAACGAGTGCTCCTTTAGCTGCAGGTTGCACTGCTGACCCCGGCGGTCAAATCATACGATGGAACCCCCCCCTCCCTCCCCCCCGCTCCCGTGCACGTTTACGCGTATTCCTAAATTAGTGACGTTACATACCCTGCGGGACTTCCATCGTTGCAGGTGACCGAAGTGTTCTCCAAAAAGCTCAGCTTCATGTCGTAGTCGAGCTTCTGCGCCGAGCACGGGTAGAGGGACTGCGCAAGGTTCTTCACTTGTGTCATGAAGTTATCCATGTTCTCCTCCACGGCGGTGAAATCCAGAGGGAAGCTCTCCGTGGTGTCACCCCGATCCGCCCGGTATGTGGGAGGAGGTGGTGAGCGTCGTGGTTGTGGGTTGCGGCCACCCCGAAATCTCCGTGCGCAAAGAGCTCCGGACTGCATCAGCGCCAGCAGCAGCACTGATGAAATCATTCTGATCGCTGCCATCTTTGCGCAGTGTTAGGATGTTCTTTTTTTCCTTAAAATGTCAACGTCTTCTCACAGATATACAGATATTTCTGGTTTAGCAGAAAAATAAACGACAATTACGCACGGTATAAAAGGTAGCTCAACTCTCTTAAAAACGCTGAAATTATATTTATTAGATTAAAAAGTGCTTTTAAATGAATGACAGTCATCCGCTGAGTTCTCTGGATATATACTAATCTTCCAAAGAGTGCGACTACAACCGTTTCCTCATCTCACCAAGCCCAAGTGAAGCCCTTCTGGACCAAGCGCATAAGCTTGAACGACAACACCGGTGCCATGCTCTTGTATTTTATTCAAACTTTCCCCCCATGAGTGTCCGACCAGCCAATCGCAGACGCGGGGCAGGACCCGGGCATAATCAAGCGTGGAAGACTACCTCCCTTTTTTTTAAATTTATATAGGGAAACATGTCACTGCGTTGGTTCTTTTGATCCACGATGTTTTATTTCATGTGGTGGCTTTCATTGGCCTTGAAATGTCCATTTCTCATTCCACCACAGATGTATTTACGTATTCTTACAAGAAGTGAAGAATACGCATTTTGTTACGCACTCACTTAAAAATCAAGTGCAGGAAAAAACAAGACACGATCAAAACTCGGGTAGAGTTCCGACAATATTTGATCAGCAAAAAAATTTCGATGTCAGACTTTACCTCGTTAAATCAGCAAAAAATGTTGTCTTTTTTATTGGTTCACTTATGTAAAGGCTTTTCTTTTACAAGCCCAAAAAAAACAGTATCATCCTTCTCTCCACAAAAAATAAGAAACCTCACCAGATACCTCTTTTTAGGAATCACCTCCAGTTCTGACTAGTTGAGCTTTACTCTTGTTGTCTTAAGCTTTAGAAAAGGACTTGGACACTTGTTTTTACGGGAGCCTCCAAAGATCAAAGCACCCATCACTCTTTCCCCCCCCCCTTCGCCTCGCCTCCTCACTCCCACTTCAGTCCCTTCCAAACCTTCCCGGTCTACTGTATATTTGAAGTCGAGCGAAGCATTCTGATGGGAAGCCAGCTTTTTTTAAAGCAGGAATGCCTCGTTACGGTTGAGGAAGACCACCAGCAATTTCTCATTTTGAGGACACTTTTGAGTCAAAGTGTAGCCTGCAGCGATTACAGCAATAACAGTTATTCATTGAGGTGACCCTTCGGGGGCCACTTTTTCTTCGATTGAGCTCATTATCCACATGTGAAGCAAACTGACATTTGTAATTCAGTTTAGTTTTAAGGGGCTTGGTGTCCTACTTGCACGTATTTTTTTTACTTGATGCAACATCAGCTCGGCCGTGAGAGCAGGCTGTAAAAAAAAGTTTGAAAATTTTAACCCCCAATAACATGACAACACATTAAAACTGCCTCACATCCTCCTAGAAAAACAACCTCCAGCCCTGTGGTTAATCCATGTGCCTAACGGGTGCCGAGACGTCTCCTGAGCCAGGTAAGATGGCTATGAAGTCACCAGCCGGACTGATGGTATTCATTGGGAACTTCAAACAGACGCTTGTATAGATTAAAACATGTGGCAGGGCGAAGGAAGAGAGGCTCTGTCGCGGATTCTAGTCTAGTCACTTTGACCCATACCTCCCTGTTTTATCACACGTCATCGCAACAAATGCAACCCTCAAATCACTCGCAGATGGACGCAAGCCTCCCGACACACGCTACCGCGAAGAGATGCCCCTCTTCAAAAGACCCCTCCGAAGCACGCGTGGGTCGCAGATGCTCCGAGAGATCTGAATGTGCAGATTCTGTGTCAAATTCACGAAAACAGTGAGAGGCCGGAGACTGAGAACGGACACACCGCTTAGCTCCGCTACTGTTGTTTGAAGTGCTAAGCCTTTCTGGCTTTCACCGGTGATTTTCGCTCTCTCTCCCTCGCTCCCCTTTTCCTTCGACTCCCGTCGTCTCTCCGTGTGGCTTGGACACAAAGCTAAGCATGCAAGTGCGAATGGATTAGGTCATTTGAAAATGACCCAGCTGTTGCGATGGCAGTCCCTCAGAAGCGCCCCCCGAAGGCCTCCTCCCCGACTCTAGGCCTCCTGTGAAAGTCAAAGCCTGTCTTTCATCTCCGATCAGTTGCATGTGCCCTCACAGATCCACAGGTTTTACTGCTTAAGTCTGGGCTGGCAGCATTGATCGTGTGACCGTTGTGCCTGTTTGGTGTTGGAACACATCATGGGTCCGTGAGCGCTCCCACCGTCTGCGCAGCCGGCCATTTGTGCTCACACATATCCCCACTGTCCGTCTCCTCATGCCTGTTAGTTTTGATTTGCACATGCTGTTGTCGAGGGCCCATCCGAGATCATCAAATCCGGCTATTTGGAACTGTTAGGTCAGGTTACATCAAAGAGATGGGGAGGGATAAGCCTCTTGAAAGGGACAGACTCTGGCTCACATCATCAGAAACAGGTGGAGGTCCTCATTGGAAGAACAAAGGAGAGATCGCCATCTATAAAACGTTGTGTATTTCATAGAAGAATTTCTTTAAATCACCTGATATTGCCACCGTCTCCTATACGGAGTGCTAGCACAAGTTAGCACCGGGATAAAACGTCGCAATATCAGGTTCAGGATTGTTTGACTCAACCGCCGCACTAAATCCCACGAAGGTCACAACAGCCAAGCCTGAGACTTAGTGGTGTTACACAAAGTGTTTAAGTGTGGATATCCGCTAAAAGGAACTGGACATGTATGGAAAACAGCTCAGGCGTTACAACTTTTGCAGGTTTTGCATGAATTTAAGTAATTTCTCCTGTGGTTACCCCTTCTCTGCAAAGACAGACATTACATTTGACAAGAATAGAGTAACTAAACTGCACTTAGAAACAAACAACTATATATAAATATATAGATATAGATAAATATATGACATGCGTTATTGTAGTGACAGTTTTACAAGTTGATGTGTGTAATGATAGGAATCTTTGACGTTTCAGACACTTCGGCTTCTGTGCTGAGTCACTTTTGGGGCAAACCCCCGTAAGCAGGTAAAACCACGCTGCAACTATTGTTTAAAACCAGTCAAACAAACACGTACAGACGTTTTGGGTGTTAACACACCAAAGAGTTCCTTTCATGTGCCCCCCAACCACATGTTCCTGATATTATCCAGAGATTCGGTAAACAACCTTGATCCTGACTTAAGTCAAGAGGTGCCATCTAAGACGTGGATGTAAATGGTGAGTACGAGAGAGGCAGGAGACATCTGTCGAGCAGGCTCTTATTTTGCAAGAGGAGGCCCGCCTATTGGTTACAGATGATGCCCTGTTTGATATGAAATGAGGTCTTTCAAGGTAGGACAGCTTGCGTTAAGGGTCTCTCCGGCACCGAGGGGTACTCAAATACTTCGGGTCAGATGTTTGTTGTTGATCTTTCATCTGAATGATGCTCACGCGATCGCTGCTGTCCACTTCAAACAGTTCTGTCATGTCCTTCGTGCTAAACGAGGCGGACGCTTCTATGCGCGTTAGCGTGGACGTACATTCGCGCGTATAGGAATGCGTTGTCTTATTTGTTCACTCGTTTATTTATTCATTTATCTATTTATGCCTGGAAACAAATTTAACCCCACGGTTACCTACACACGTAGACACACGCAAGTGTTATTTCATTCGCTCTCCTTTATGTTTTTCATCTCAAACACGCACAGCTGCATGCGCGGGAAGATGAGCGAGGCGGAAAGCGGCCGTTTGGCCTCCCTCGTTTTCCCTTCGTGCCTCAAGCCTGAATCAGCCTGTGCGATGCCCTCTGCCAGGTAACAACAGGAGGAAGCAGAGACCACTAACCAGTCAAAAAAACAGCTATTATCATCATCAGAGAGGCGGCGGCCCGTCCTTCCCGTGCGCTTATTCTCATCCCCACCGAGACACGGCGAGAATTAGGCCCTTTTGTCCCGGAAATGTTTATTTATGCCAAAGATTTGACAAAGTACATGGAAAAGCCCTTATTACAGGTTGTGACAGCAGAGTCACAACACATGATTCATTTTCGGTCCTTTAACCTGGTAGTCTCCATGGGGAGATTCTTTTGAAGTCCACACCCTGCTGTAAAACATGGTCATTATTCAATTATGTGAGAGCTGTGTTTGAGACTGTGGACCGTTAAGAATGGCTGGAGGAAGGAGGTGATGAAGAATACACACACAAAGAAGAACGAGTTATTGACATGCAACGTCAATCTGAAGTTTGGTAATAACTATTGGTGCCTATTTTTTCAGACAGAGATTAAAAGCTAGTTCTAGAATAAAGGACTAAAGGCAAACATCCACTGGAAATATCCACTAAAGAGGATGAGGTTTATTCTAACACTACATGTGAATTTGTCTGTACGCGTTGTGCGCTTCCATCCACTGGGACACTATTAACACACCGTATGTGCCTCATTATTTTTGACACCTTCCTAACACCAAGCATCCGTTTTCTTTTCCCCCTCTCAGCAAGAGGAAGAGGCTACTGTAATCACAGGAGACAATGATCAGCGTCAGCCTCTCGCCCGGCTCTGGTACCCGCTTTGATGTCGTATCTCGGTGTGTGGAGCACAACTGCCTGACAGGCTGCCTTTCAGCAGAACGACGTCACTCGGCTACTTGATTAATACCCACAGGCTCTTTCGGGCAAGGGAATTTGAAAAAAACAAACACAGTATTTCAGTTCAATACTCCAACTGTGCTGTGAGGTATTTGCCTTAAGATTTAGTTAGTTTGGCTCTAATGCAGCTCAATAAATATTAATAGGCAACACGAAGAGACGAAACAAAATACGGAAAATGTATTTATAACACATTAGAACTCTCCACACTGCAATCTTTCAAAGCAACGTTTGCCTTCTCTTGATTTCTCTCCCTATGGGGGAGGGAGAAGTGATAAATTACAAGGTAGAATCTGAAGTGTTTGTTTTTGGAAGAAACTGCCATGGGAGGTGGATATTTATATCCAACTGCTCTGGCTGGCAGCGTGGCCTCCCGGCGCGGCGTCGCCTTCACAGGACCTCGTTCTGTCTTCACCTGTAGGTCAAGAGCAGTCTAGCGCTCTTCCCCACATCATACAGACCCTCCCGCCGATGCCCCGACGCCGAAGACGGGTCTGCGGGGCCCGCGGCGGACGCTCCGCTGACTGGAAACTGGAGTTGAGGATTTTCCAGAGGAAAGAAAAAAGTGTTTCAAAGGATTAGAGTGTGTTTGTTTATTCTCAGCAGGATGTAGAGAATGACGGTACATAACTCATGTGGTTGCGCTGCTCTTTGATGTATTCTCATGCATACAGCGCATGTCCTC